TTTTAATAGGTATATACATACACCTTTAAGGATGAACGAAGACACCATACATAAAGCAATTAGCAAGGGTAATTATATCGATAATGAATGCTGGATTAATGCATTAACTGATTTTTACAGTGATACAATTATGAACGAAAGAACCCGTAATAGACTAACTAGAGAAAAAGTAATTGAAATTATAGGTAGAGATAACTTTGGCGAAACGGGGGCAACCATTCAGGAGATGGAGGCTGTATTTAAACAGTTTAAAATTCCATGCAGAATTTATGATTGTTGCAATAAATTAATTTATAAATGCGACCCCGATATAAATAGTAGGCACATCAAACCATTTTATGCAATGGTCAAAAACAGTCATATTTACGCAATGAATCACGACTTAAAAAGCATTCAACAGAAACAATTAATAACCAAGATACCAACTGTCAAAGCTTCAACCGACTACTATATTAATGAAAGAGAGGAACCACCGCTTTATAGAATGATAAAAAATATTGACGATATACTAAATATCAAAGTTGATGAAAAAACAAAAGAGATATATTTAGTATCCGAAGACAATAAGTTATCTGAATTATTTTTCAATTTAGTTAATAGTGGCTACGAACCAAGAATTAGATTTCAAGCTGGTATTATATCAGAAATAAAAATGAAATTTAACAAAACAATATATATAATAAAAACACAAAATTTAATAAAAACTTCTGCAGATGGATGCATTGCAGTATGTAATGAAACTACATATAACAATATGAATAAAGCAATGTTTAATTTTAATAAGTCATTGTTTAACTTATCTCATAAATCGTTTTATAATGACATTGATATTCAAATTTTAGACGAAGCCAGAACAGTTGTTCCATCTGGCTTATTGTGTGATAGCAGAGATATCAAAAATGAAATCGAAATCGATATATCAAAAGCATTTACTCATGCGTTTATTACTATATCAGAAATACCAGTATTTAATCAATTTGACATATGGCGAGCGTTTGATGATACAACTGATATTTATGACCTACACGACTTAACGTTATATTATATAGAAAAGAAAACTACTATACTAAAACGGACAGGAAGAATGCTATTTAATAAAAAATATTGCTTAATATATGGTGTATTTTTGAAACAACTAGATAACATGACAAGAGAACGAATTAATATTTTATACTTTAAACAACCTTCATTTATTCACAAAGTTGAACATAAAAATATTGTTAATGAACTTTGGAACACAAACATTAGCGAAGACAATGAGGAAGATAAATGTATTAAAAAACTGGTCGCAAATGTTAATTATGGACTTTTAGAAAAGGGGGGAGCAACTGACCAGAAGAGCACAGTGTTTAAAAATCTTAAGGAAGCTTTAAACTATCAGGCAGAGTATGGAGGTAAAATACATAAATTAACACATTTCACGACAGAACAAATTACAGTAGATGAAGAACAATATACAGCAGAAGAAGAACAGGCGTCATATTATATACTTAATTTAAAGGACACATCACGCTTAAGGAATGGTTTTAGGTATGTAAAAGAGCTACTGCTTCAATACCATAATTTTAGAATGTATCAAGATTATTCTAAGTTATATCAAAATGGTATTAATGTGTTCAGTGTCAAAACAGATGCGTTTACAATAGCGCGATCGGATATAACAAAAGCAAGAGAGCTTTTAATCTTTAATAATGAAATAGGAGGATGGAGAATTTCAAACGACGAATATATTAAATTTCCTACTGTAGATTATGAAATTACACAAAACGAATTAATACAAATACCAATTTATGAAAGTAAAACTATTGATATAGTAGATGAATATGACACAGATAATATTATAGAAATTATTGAACAAAATAATCCTATTATGATTCGTGGAGCACTACCGGGCACAGGAAAATCATATATATGTCAAAAAATGGTTGATAAAAATTATAATGTAATTTTTATTTGTCCTACTAATAAACTATTACAGGCATTCGAAGGCGAAGCAATGACAATAAATAAATTTTTCGGTATTAATTATGGAGATGCTAAATTAGAACCATTTGATTTTACAGATTTTGATGTTATAGTATTTGACGAAGTTTATTTTAGTAATTTAAATATATATTGGAGAATAAAACAATTTGTAGAACAGAATAAGCACAACAAAATTATAATAGCAACAGGAGACACCAAGCAGTTAAAACCAGTTCAAGAGATAACAAATACTCGAGACTATGAAGTATATACTGATAACATTATAGATAACATTTTTGAATATAATATTTTGTTAAAAGAATGTAAGCGACTTCACACACAGGAAGATAAAGATAAACTAAGAAATATTAAAATTGATATTTTTGAAAATAGATTACCTATTGTGAAAGTTATTGAAAAATACTTTGAATATACAACTGACATAAGCAAATCAATCAACAACATAGCATTTTTAAATACAACTTGTAAAAATGTATCAAATGAAATTAGAAAATTAGAAAATAGAAAAGATGAATATGAAGTAGGAGAATTTTTAATTTGTAGAGAATATACAACAACTAAAACATCAGTTTTTAATGTAAATTTCAAATATAAAATTGTTCATATTGGAAGCGATGGAATATTTACGTTGAAAAATGTTAAAACTGAAATTCTACAGTCTTTGCCAGTTGATAAAATAAGAAGTAATTTTATATTTGCATATTGCTCGACTTGTCATTCTGCCCAAGGCAGTAGCATTGATGATACCATAACAATTTTTGATTATAACCATTTTTTGGTAAAGAATTATCCAGAATGGATATGGACTGCAATTACAAGGTGTAGAGATTTAAACAAAGTCAAATTTTATAAATATACGAAAGATATTGATGATGTATTTAATCAAAAATGTATTATGAGTTATTTTGAAAGGAAAATATTAAGTTACAAAGAACAAGACAGGAAAGCCAAAAGAACAATACCTAAAGAAGGTTATGTAAATGCGCAATGGTTTTTAAATAATACCACAAATCAATGTAATTACTGCGGATGCGGTTTTTCTATGGATATTAAAAACGGTAATATAATGACAAATCTGACAGCGCAACGTAAATCAAACGAGTTGTCACACGAACTGAATAATATTATTCCTTACTGTGTTAGATGCAATTGTAGTTGTAAATGATAATAATTTAAATAATATTTTAATATTTCTTGTAAAAAAGTATTTAAAGAAATAAAAACTATATATATTATAATAGAAATGGTGGAAACCGAAATCAATAATTATATCAATAAGAAATGCTACAACTGTTGCCACTTCAAAAAGGAAAATATGGAATTGTATAAATTAAATTTACCTAATAAAATATTGAATAATATTATTAATTATTCAATGGATGAAGAAGATGAATGTACAATTTGTCAGGAATGGAGAGATAATCAAGAATTAATCAGATGTCATTTAAATCTGAAAAGAAGACATAATAGAAATGTTGAAGACGACATTTTGATATTTTTAACTGTGTATGAAATACCGCCTTATGATTATGTTAAACAGTTTCTTAAAATCCCTAAGAAAAAATATGGTATGATTGATGATATATTAAGGATGTTGTGTTATAGTCAAGAGAAGGGACAAGATGTTAAAGAAAATATCAAATTATTTATTGAAAGTAAAAATTTTAATGTTCAAAATACATTGAGAGATATTAATATTATTTTTAAAATGATGTATGAAAGAAGTAAGACAAATCAATTAAATTATTATCCTGTACTGAAATTATAATCATAATATAATAATAACATGTAAAATATTATATGTTATACTTATATTTCAATATTTAATTCTATTTCTTGGAAAAAAGTATTTAAAGAAATAAAAGCTATATATTATTATATAGTGTGTAATGGCGGAAACCGAAATCAATAATTATATCAATAAGAAATGCTATGACTGTTGCCACTTCAAAGAGGAAAATATGGAATTATATAAATTAAATTTACCTAATGGAATAGTTAATAATATTGTTGATTATTCTTTGGGTAAAGAAAATATATGCAGAACATGTAAAAAATGGAGATATTACCAAGACGCAATCGAATATAATTTAGATATTAAAAGGTTTAATGAAAGAAATGTTGAAGATGACATTTTGATATTTTTAACTGTGTATGAAATACCGCCTTATGATTATGTTAAAGCATTTCTTAAAATCAGTAAGAAAAAGTATGAAATTATTGACTACATATTATGGGCATTGATTTATCATAAAATGGAAGGGGTTGATGTAAAAAAAATCATTAAACTATTTATTGAAAGTGAAAAGTTTAATGTTAAAAATACAGTGAGAGATATTAATAGTATTATTAAAATGATGTATGAAAGAGGAAAGATATATCAATTAAATAGTTATCCTGAATTTAGATTATAACCATACTATGATTATAACATTTATACCCTTATATGTTATAATTATAATGTAAGTATAGCGTTTTATATATTGAAGATAAAATCCTACAAGGTGGGCCATGCGCAACTCCGGAATATCAAAATTTCGAAAAATGATTAATTATTAGTCTTCTCATTGAATTATTGAAAATGTTGTTTCTTATTGAATAATTCTTCTTAAAATGATATATATATTTATCTCTTTTGAAAAAAATATATTTTCTAAAATATTTTGGAAAATGTGTGTTTTTGAAAATAAACATGTTTAGGTGTATTGAATTTTTCAAAAAATAATTCAATTTTTGTTTTGGTATGCAGTACTAAAAAAATATTTATCAAAATGTGTTTAGACTGTTTCAAAAAATGTTTTAAAATGGCTGTTTTGGTGCGCTTATTCAAAAAATGCAAAAAATCCTAGGGTGGACCCTAGACTTTTGAGTCCGAAAAAAGTTGCGCATGGCCTGTCCTAACTGAAACTCGCTTGGATGCCATCTCAAAAGTACAGTCTTATCAGAATCTTTCCTATGGGCAAGTGTTGCACGAACCTCTGCAAGAAAGCAAATGTCAAACCCCCATTGTCTGTCCTGGTCCAGTCAGCGCTCCAGGTGGCAGGACAGTCACCTTTCAGCTCAGAGCAGCCCGCGTTGAAACGGGCAAGCAAAACGCAACGTGAACGACCCAAAAAGACTGTAACAACACCAAGTTCTTTGCTTGTATGCCGTTTTTAAGGTTGGACCAGCCAAATTGGTGGTCCGTGTGGTTCCCCTTTTAAAACCACCAAAAAAATGGGTAACCTGAAAGAAAGACACAGCCCAAATAGAACGTCAAGACTTGAACAGCCAGCAATGGTTGCTTGCCAACAGCACATGTCAAATGTCAAGCACCAGTTCCCGCTGCCCTCGGCCCTAGTCTGAGCAGCCAGCAGCGATCAACGCACCCAAAGGCTCGGCCAATCCCGAGAGGGTTGCCTCGCATGCGAGTGGAATCGAACCCAAATGTCCAAGGTGAGATTGCAACGAGAGCACCCGAGTGGGCTTATGCGCTTGTCGAGCTCTTGGATGGGTTGCATGAGCACAAGCTGAGGGGGAGTTTCTGATATGTCGTTGTGGTCGCGAAGTCGCGTGGAAACAATGAGGAAAAGAACCAAAAAGGCAACTAAATGGAGCTTGGCCAAAGCTCCGTGCAAGGGTCCTCATGATTTTCCTCTTGCAAACATCCTTATTCAACCCAATGTCGAGCCTCGATCCAGATCGCATGGATAAAAGAAGCTCTCAGTCCAATTGTTGCAACCAAAATGTGTCCAGCGCGGTGCACATCAGCGAGATAAGATCTTGCTTTGAGGGTACCCTGTTGGGTTTTGGATCAAAACCGAGGAGAAACCAACCATTTTGGGGTGGCCATTTGAAGACAAACCCAGGGTCTCTAGCTTAGCCAACATTCCAGTGCGGGACTTCCAAAGCACTCAGTAGCCCAACCCTGGCCGAGGCAGTGACCATCAGCATGGCCCGAGAGCGGTCATTGGTTGCCTCCAGGACCTGAACCCGAAGCGAGCGCCATCTGCAGCTCATGTGCCCTTCCCTCTCAGATGTTGGATCCATCGAATGTGGCCACGGACGAACATCGGAAGGTTGCTCAACGAATATCGAGGTTCCATGGGAAGCAAACTTTGGGCGAAGTGTTGGTAGGTGGGTCCCACTTTCTGGGTGGATTAATCATGGTGTCACACAACTCCTGGTAGTCCCTCTAAGATCTCTGAGGAAAATGTGGATTTTGGGCTCCCTTCCAACCGGTTGCGGGCAGTCTGACACCTTTCAACAAGTTCCGTCAAGGGCGCCGAATAAATACACGAACTCGCCAAGAACGCCGACCAGCGAATTCGGGGTTGATGAGTCAATGAGGTAGCCGATTCTGGAAAAATTGATAAATCCCCTGTGCAAAATCACAGTCAAAGGGTTGATTCCATGTTCGACCCCATGTCCCGTCTCCGGGCACGACCCCGGTCAAACCAAAAGCTCAACCAAGGGTCGCCACGTGAGTCTTTACGACGTAAAAAGAGAAAAGGAATGTGTGGCTTGGCCATGTTCATTCCCTTGCCTCATCTAGATTCTTGTGTTTGGGATGTTTCGTGTAACCGCTCACTCCGTTCCCTGTCCTTTGTCTGTCTGTTCGCTTCACCGTGTATCAGCTCTCACAGACAAGTCCTTATGTCTATTCTCTTTACCATTTCCCACTCCATTAAATCCACGAAAGAAGAGTGGGAAAAGGTAAGGAAAAGAGAATGACATGATGAATCCAGCTCCTTCCCTCGCTTCCTCACAAGCCTGTTCTAGAGATATCTCGCATCGACGGAACAGAGAAAGGAAAGGATATTATTTTCATTCATCGTTTCATCCTTTGGTGAATCCATGTCACCTAATTTCCTGAGATTTGGAGGGATCCGAACAAAGTGAGGAAAGGAAAGGGAAAGTGGGTTTACATTGGATTCACCGAACTAAGAAGAGATTCGAAGAACTCCCCCACAAACCCCTGCGCCTCAAAGCAGCAATATGGCGCGCGCGCGCGCGCGCGCGCGAACACACACACACCAATTGTTTGGACATGGGCTTTATGGCCCCTCAGCCCCTCAATTCCACACCGCTCATTTGCTCCTTGTTTACCCTTCAGGGATACGCTCCGAGACCCCGGGGAGTGAAACCTTACACGGGCTCTCGCCATTTGGCTTGTCAAAATATGGATATTGGCTCCCAAAGCGGTGGTTCCTTCGCAAAAAAAAAACCGTTCCCAGTGTCTGATTGTCGCCTTTCCCGTGCATCCAGTGCGGAAAGCTTCAACTGATTCTGATTCTAGTTGGTTCCCCATTCAACCAGCCTTCTCGAAAAGCAGATCTGTCTTCCCAACGAACTCGGTGGCTTTAAGATCCCGAGGCAAGTTACCAACGACTGATGGGAGTTCACCTCTGAGCAATCAAGCGAAGCGAGAAGAAATTGGCTGTGGGTATCTTCCCTATGTCAGCGAACATGATTTTCTTTGCAGCCACGTTGTTCGCCGCCCACAACAAAAAGCACAAACAGAACCAAAGAACAAACAAAAGTGGCAAACACGTGCCAATGCCAGTACAGGCCGTGTGTCTCAGGGTCCTTTTCGGGGCCAAGCGAAGCAGAAGAACCTGCACGCTTGGGTTCCATGCCCCCTTATTTTGAAGCCATATGTCCATGTCTGAAAAAGGGAGTGTGGTCCATGCGGGATCCTGTCGTGGATCCGCAACCAAGACAGGCAAGTTGGTCGTCGGAAGCCAACTGCAGACCAGCGGCTGGCATGGCGATGGCGATGCCCTCCGGGATGTTGTGGACCGCGATCGCCGCCATGACCTGAGAAGGAACCGCGCCGGCCTTGGGTACTTGTCTTCTCTCTTTTTTTCCTCGTTTTTTTCGCGGGTACCCCTTTTTGGGTTTGTTTCAAGGGGGTGTCCCAAAAAAGAAACATGGTGGTGTTGTGTGATATTTTGGCGGGGGTCTCCTAAAAGACATACCCATCTAATCTAGAGGTATGGCACGCAATCAGCGGGCGTGCGCAAGAGAAGGGTTGGTGTGGGGAGATTCTGGAGTAGGACTTGCATCGGAAAAACTGGCTGAGCCGGCAAGCTACATGTGATGCATGTCAGGCGTGATATGTCTGGCTGTCTAGCATGATCTGCCCCTACTTGGAAAACACTTCCATCTGCCGCTGTCTGAGCCCAGAACCACAACCCCCAAATGCTCGCTTTGGAGAGAGGAAACCTGAGATGCGCAGCATACACTTGGGCAAGCCCGTTCTTTGCAGCAGTCAGTCTTGAGGTCAAATGCCTCTAGGGAAGGCCGCAATTGTCCAAACCCCAAACAGCTGTAGGATGATATGAGCAAAACCAGGGCTGTTGCAGCACTGATCATGCCAATTTGGCCTGGTCTTTGCTACGTGATTCAGAGTGCGGAGCAACAACGGGGCCCTTTACAAGCAAGCCATTGTGACTGGGCAAGGAACGACCTAAGTGATGGCTGGACAAGGCTCGCTGAGGGCGCCACGCCAACCGCGAGTCCTTCCGGAAAATTATGGGCAGTGAGAGCCAGCCTAGGAGCGAGTCACAGGGCCCATGTGGGTCTGTCTTTTTGGAGGGGGTGGTTCCAGAGGAAAAGCAAAAGAAAACCACAACTTCGGGGGGGGGGGGGGGGACCAAAAAAGATACATCCGTTTAACCAAAAAAGATACATCCGTTTACTACCCTTCTGGAGAAGGGGTGCGTGGGGCAAGTTTGCGATCCTCCAAGAGGAATCCTCACGTTGGGGGCCAAAAGTTTTGCCCAACGTGGTCTAAAAAGCACGGCCCTATGAGGCTCAAAAGGAAAGGTGGATGTTCCAACATTGGTGGTGTTTCTTTTGTTTCCCGCTAAACCGACCCCAAAAAGGGACCCTCAAGAAAAGGCACGCTCATTGTTCTGCCGAGTGCGGAGCATCATCAGGAAGGCTAGCCTCCACTGCCTGAGGTTTCGGGCGACGGTCCCGTGTCCTCCTCCCAAATGAGTACCCCGATGATTGGTTTCCCTTTGGCTCACCCAACTTCCAACAACTTCCCACAACCCAACCTTTTGACTTTGTTGTTTTTAGGCAGGATCCGTGTCGATACCCACAACCTGGTGTCCTCTGCTGACCAATGCCTAGGGAGAACCACGTCTCTTGTCACTCTCCTGGATTCCGTGAACCCGGCACGCCTTGTGGCTTTACAGTGCGAAAGTAGATGCCACAACTCCCCAAAAAATCGGTGGCTTCTTTTGGCTTCCCTTTAAACGGAAACCACAACCGGAACCAACTCAAAAGCAGACACGCCCAATTGCTTCTAACAACCAACGCGTGCACCCCAGCCTGGCTTTGGGCTCCGCCGAGTCCCGGGACTTAGTCGAGGCTGTGGTGGGAGACCCCGAAAATTCCACATGAAACCCAACAGGCCAGCAGTTTGTATATATATCTGTAGATGTATGTATATATATATATATATATAATGGTCGGCTCTATAATGGTCAGCTCCCTCATGATCTACCTTCTGCGTTTTGAAGTCCTTGCGGAATAGCTCGTGTGTTGGCAGTACACACGTTTAATTCCAGACTGCCTGGGATCGTGGTGTTTATGTGTGGTAGACTGATGTTTGAGATGCAGATTTCGCATGTTTTCGACATGTGCAGTACCTAAACCATATGTAAGCTCGATTTGAATCTTTCTAATGCATGCAAGTGCATTAATAAATAAGTTATTCATGTCAAAGTATAGCAGTAAAAACATGGAAAACAACTAAAGCAAAATCGAGAAAAATCTCGGGGGAAGAATCGTTGGTTGCAGCCAGACACTTTGTTGGGTGTGGTTTTCTCGAGTTGTTTTTGGTTTTCCTCTCGAGCTTTTCTGTTGTTTGAAATGCCTGATTGTTTTGTTGTGCAGTATCTCTCCCAAAACAAAAAGTCACGGCTTTTGTTCGTCCTTCTCACACGCACAGAAAACCAACAAAAAACACTGAGTTGTTTGGCTTGCGGGCATTATCCATAAGGTTGTGTTGTTTATGTTGGTATGTCCTTGCTGAAGGAGTGACCATATGGGCAGCTTGCGAAACCTCGTGTATAGCCAAAGGACATCGGGTAGAGGTTATCGTTTTTTGTGTAGCCCTATCGTTTTACATGGTTTTGCGCATTTCACCATTTCACGTGTAATCGAAGTACGCTTTGCCAGCTTAAAACTCGCAACTTTCAGTACAAGTGTTGCCAAGCAAGTACACTTGGGAATCTCTAGCTCAAGAGTCGCGACTTTTCAGTACAAGTGTAGTAAGGGAAGTACGCTTTGGCAGCTCCGGCTCGAAAGTCACAACTTTTCAGTACAAGTTTAGAACTTTGGCAGCTCCGGCTCGAAAGTCGCAACTTTTCAGTACAAGTGCAGTAAAGGAAGTACGCTTTGGCAGCTCCGGCTCGAAAGTCACAACTTTTTAGCACAAGTGTAGCAAAGGAAGTACACTTTGGCAGCTCCGGCTCGAAAGTCGCAACTTTTCAGTACAAGTGTAGTAAAGGAAGTACGCGGCTCAAAAGGCTCAACTTTTCAGTACAAGTGTAGTAGAGGAAGTACACTTTGGCAGCTCCGGCTCGAAAGTCGCAACCTTTCAGTACAAGTCTGGCAAAGGAAGTACGCTTTGGCAGCTCCGGCTCGAAAGTCGCAACTTTTCAGTACAAGTGTAGTAAAGGAAGTACACTTTGGCAGCTCCGGCTCGAAAGTCGCAACTTTTCAGTACAAGTGTAGTAAAGGAAAGACACTCAGCTGCTCATTTCCTTACATAAGGGGCCCTGTACACAAAACCATGTTTAGTTGGGTTATTGATTTTTTTGTAAATGCTTTTGGCACGTTCTACTGCACATGTTGGTTTGTGATGTCCAGCCCTTTACATATTGGTCTTCCAGAGGTTTTGACAGACGCTCATATATGCACACGCCTTGCTTCGATATGCATTGACATCTTTTGCTGAACACTTCAGCAATTTCAGTCTAGATTGAACTGAACAAAAGGAATCTAGATACTAGAATCTAAATAGGAGGACAGAGTTTAACTAGAATTTCGATCTTAATGCAGAATTCAACCGCTGGCCGCAAGCTCTTGACTCAGGCTCCTGATTTAGCTCCTTACAAGGCTCATTGTAAAGCTCCTTGTAGGGCTAGTCATCAAGATTCATACAAAGCTCCTTTTGAAGGCTCATTGTCCTTGTTCAAATCCTTTTTTTAAGCTGCCAAGGATTCCAAATGATTCTATTTAGAATTTGAGTGGAATTTAATAACGATGGACCATTGTTAGAAGCTCTATTTTGAAAATAGAATGGAGTTGATTTAAGTTTGCAGATTGGACACAAACCAGATAGGGATGATATGCAACGCCCTACAGGTGGGACAGCTTTCAAGAAACATGTGCTTTTGGATTTGCAGATGCGTCAAAACACAAGCGGAAATGATATGCAAAAGCCTGATGGTGGGGCGGGGGGCTCAGCATGCATATTATATATAATGTATATATCGGACCTGCTGGGGGGTTCTACGTAAATGCTTCAAGGCGGCCACAAGGTGGTTTCCCAATGTCGAGCCATCGTTTCCTTTTTAGGTTCCCTGAAATTCTAAGAGCAACCAAAAGAGGGTTCATAAGCCCCCGTATCCGCAACGCTGGGAGACCTGCATGGCCCTTCTCCGGATCGCAGGAGAGGTCCTGAAGCAGTCCGTGGCGCCGAACATGGGATCGATCAAAAGGTCCATGACCCTATGACTCTATGACTCCAGGACCCCATGACTGCATGTGAGGGCAAATCAATAAAAAGATGATGTGTCCCACCAAGAATGGGAAAGTTACCCATGGTCATTTGGGGGCCAGCAATATTGATCAACCCCCACGTGCCAATAGACTGCAAACTTGGCTCAAGAATTTTCTCCGTTGAATTCCTACCAGTCAGCTTCGCTTCTAGTTGACTGGACCCTTCTGGAGGAACGCCGACGCAGCTGTATGTGGTGCACAGGCCAATCCAAATTGCTTGCTGAAATGCGAAAGCACGCGTCTATGACAAACCCTTGAGCCAAAATAAATATTCATCTGTGCCACAGCTGAAGGACAGCCTTACGGCACCCACATCAAGCCAATTCTGGCGACCCTTTTGACTTGGACACACACGCCCAACCCCCCCCCCACACCGGGCCCTGACTCTGGCCTCGTCCTTCTTGCCGCAGCCCATCTCTGGCTCCGAGACTAACCTCCTGGCCAGCAACAACCGCAGACCGAACCAGCGCACCAGCGCACCAGCGCACCAGCGAGCGCAAGCAAACGCGGGAGCTGGGCATCCGAAAGCTTTCGGGTCTAACTATTCCCGCTTCTCGGGGGAAAGCTGTCTTGTTACAGTAATCCCATGTTTATCGGACCTTTCGATCAACCCCCAAATCTAGGGATGCTGGCCATTGATTCTGGTGGGAGCTGGGGCTCCCTAGCACCCCATTGGATTGGAATCTTACACATCCCTGGCCCATTTATCCTTTGAAAGTAGCACCTGGTTTTGCCACATGTCCATCTGCCCCCGGCCTGAGGATCACAAAGCTGAGAAAGCCTGCGAGCCCGGAGAGACCAGCCTGGTGCCGAGGAGTACTCAGTCCACTCAGTCCACTCAGTCCACGTCACCAGGGCCTGCATCCACTGGCCATGCAGGAAGGCCGGGATGAAGAGCTCAACCTCTTCACATCTTCGTCCAAGTCTCCGGCTCACGTCTTCTGAGCGTCCCGCAAGCGAGACCGTCAACATGACCTGCCATCGACAAACTGAGCTCGGAGTCCTCTCCACTGCGGCAAGCTGATCAAACGAAGCAAGCCAGAAGGACGCCGGCGGCCAACGCCAACGCGAAGGCCTCGGGTCAAAGCTGGTTGTGTGAGCCGTAGCCATGGTTCCATCAATAGGGATGCCTCAAAATTCACAATGCTTGACAAATATCCTTCGTGACGGGAAGATGAACGTGGCTTTCCTCTCTTGGCCTTTTGATGGCATAGGTTGAATTGGGCGAGCCTTACAGTGTTTACATGGGCACCACCAGCTATTTTCAGCTTCCCACAGATTGGTGGTGTGGACTATTTGAACGGGTCCCTGGCTTTTGTAGAGGGTTTATGGGAAACCACCCAAAAAACCACCAAACCACCGGGCTCCAAGCCACCAATTGCGTGGTAGGGTGATATTTAGCATATGCACCCCCCAAACCAAAAACAATCCCAGCCTCTGAGCGAGTCTCTTCAGACGTAGGGCCCGGGCCATCTGGCTGGATGTCGGCGCGCCCCGCAGAAGTAGAACCTCGGATATGGATCACAAAACGAGAGACTGGAGACCCCCCAAATGGCAGGCACTTCTTTTGACGGTTTAAGAAAGAGGTGCCCTCAGCAAGGCTCAGTTGCGACACTTCATTGAAACACACACCCCTAAGCCATATGCCCGGTATGCCCTTCAAGGAAAAAAACATTCTGGCTCAATGAGAACATCAACGGCTCACTCGATTGCCGCCGCGGCCCGGGATTCCCGGGATCCCGGCAATGCCGGCGCCCAGGGAGGTTGAGAGGCCGGCCAACTTGGCGGCGAGTCACTCGAATCCATGCATGTGGTCGGGTGAGCTGGTGGCAACGTGCCAATCTGAACCTAATAGGGGAAATGTGTGTTGTTGTTTGTTCAAAAAGTTAGAATGTTCAGGTGAAAGACAAGAGTAACCAAGACCGGATGGGCGTACTAGACGCAGAAGCGAAACGCCCAGACGCAGAAGCGCAGCTCAGGCTGCAGCTAACGATCGCATGATGGCTGTGCCCTTGAGGTTTGGCTGCACCTGCAAAATGATCAGGACCAATGGCTGTCAAATGACCAGAGGTCACTTGTCAACACATTGCCAGTCTTGGATGTTTCAAATCAGGGGACCTCTTGTTGAACTTCTTTCTCGGAAACCCAAGAGGACACCATCCAAACGACCCTGTCAAACAACCAAAATAAGCCGAACCATTTCGAGAGCTCAAACCTCCCCCGATCCCCGGAGCACGCGAACCGATGCTTCAAGTCGCGCACCAGCGGCATCTCCGGCACGGCACTCATGCTTTGCATGCCTGCACCCAAAAGTGGCTGTGCTCGCATTGCTCGGGATGCTTCGCAAGGGATAGGGTTGGGAGTGGTAAAGGGAAACCAAGAGGACACAAGCCATTCTGGGGGTCAAAGTTCGAAGCTAGCTGACCCAAGCTCTTCTCGGCAAGCCGAGAGAAAGCAAATTCGATTGCTGGGCATAGAACCCAAGGGCAAGTGCCTGGGCCAATCTAGGTCGAAAGGCCTCCATTGAAAATGCCACTAAACAATAGTACGTATTTTCCAGACATGACCATTTGACTGTGAAACCAAAGGTTTGTCTCAAAATAGGAGACCCCAAATTTGGTGGTGGTCTCCCCTGTTGTCCCTGTAAACAGCACCAACATGGAACCTGACGTTTCGGGCTCCTGGAAGACCATGTTCCTTAAAACTGGACCGAGCCGATGGCTTCCGTGGCAACGTGGACAGGAGGGCACCTACTCGGATTCGCCCCTGCCCTGAAATGACCAAGCCAAGCAGTTGGAATTTCGGGCTCCCGAGCCCCACTCGGTGAGGGGCGACTGCTGCTGCAGTTGCTGCAGCGCCTCTCCTGACGGATTCTGGGCCCAGGCTTCTCTCTGGAAAACCACCGGAAGCCACGCAAAAACCGCCGGGTGGGGTTTAAAATTGCTGCTGCGATAGGTAGGGAATGAGAAATGGAATGAACCCAGGCTTTGGTCCCCTTTAAAGGAAACCATCAGTTGAATGGTTTAAGTCGGGATCATTCCATTTCTCAGTCCGTACTTATAACCAGCAAGTAAACATCGAACTCTTTGCCCAGTGGCACTTTCCCAGAAGTTGAGCGTGACTGTGTGAGGCTCGGTCTAAACCATCGTTGTCTTCCATTCGGGAGATTTACGAGGGACGAGGAGGAATTTAGCACAAAAACCGGGGGCTCACTTTTTGTTTTGCACGTACTTCACGAGAACCAAACTCAGACCGTCCATGAGGACAGAACTCCCCAATATCAATGATAATGTCCAAACGAGTCATTGTCAATACCTGGGTAATGCATGGTGACTGGGTCTACCCAACCGGGGGTGATGAGAGAGGTACGAAAGGGGTGGTCAAAGCTGTAGTTGTTGGCCTAAAAGGAGTCAACCCAAAAAGATGAAGGGGTGTCTTGCCGCGCTTGTTTCCGGCTGGGTTGGTCCACTTCTGTCATCAACCCAAATGTTGATTGCGGCTCAAATGGGAAAGTGTGTCCAACCACACAAAACCAGGATTGGTAGAGAAGCAATGCAAGTAGTCCGTTCTGGACCAAGCGTGGCAACTTTTGGGCAGGGGATGTACATGACAAAGTCAGAGTCTGTTCCCGCCCACCCCAACCCCCCCCCCCCCCCCCCGCGAGGTTTTTGAGAGCTTCATGAGGCTTGCTCACCACTCCTTTCGAAATGAAGGACAAACTAGTTCTAGGATCGCTAAACATTTATATACTAGCATCTGCCAATCTGGTCATGATTATTTCCTCGTGATTGAAGCGGCTATCAAAGAGTCGACGACCAAGAACGCCAGACTCGCCGTGTAGGAAACCTTACATAGTTCTTGCAATCCGCAACCATGATGCCTCATGTGTGTGGCACTTTGCAAATAGGATGGTAGCTGCATGACACGGCCCGGTCCAAAACTGGGGACTCCAATTGCCCAGTGTTGAAAGGGGATCGAAAAAGACATGCCCAGAGCTTGTTCGAGTCCTGGGGAGGCTGGATGCGCAGCCAAGTCGGGCACCTAACGCACGGGTACCAACCACAAAGACCCAAGTCCAGCAAATTTGGATTTGTCTCAGCACCAACAGGGAACCCTTACATGGCTTCGGGGTTTTCGTTTGGTTTCCGTTTAAACAAACCAAAAAAGGGTACCCTCCAAAGAGACACACCCGTTTGTTGGCGATGTGCCGAAGTTCTCAAAAGCCACGGTGGAACGCCTCTTCAGCTGAAATCCGCATTCAGGCCGAACACCAGTGGTAGAAAATGTGTTGGGTGCCTAAAAGTGAATTCTGTATGAGGAAGAAAATTTGCTGGGCGAAGCCGTCCCTGAAAACCTGGTTGCAAGCGATGCACCGTAGTTGACTGAAAGCGAAACTCCCTTCCCGAAGCATGCCAGATCCACAGCAAAAGCTTCAGCGAAGTGCAACGCACAAAGGTAGGCCTCAGCAAAAATAAACAGGCACATTGCTCGGGACAATTGAGCATCATGCCACATGTCGATGACGCAGTCTTTAAAGCTGTGCGCATTCTGTTCCGCAGCAAACAAGGGCTCGCATCACACTAGGAAAATGCGACCCTGGCCGTGTCGAAAAAGTTCCCAAGACCGGCGCGATAGGCATAAACATCCGAGCCAGGCGGAATACCTCGCTTCTTCTGCTTGGCAACATGCAGAGAAAGCATGGGTCATTCCCATAAAGTGTATATTCACCGCCGAATTGGTTTCACCTTCGGTCCCATACCAAAAAGGGTAGCCTAAATAAAACACACCTATATCTCAAGTGGGAATCCGTGCTGCGCCGCTGAGGCCAATGCTGAAGGTCCGCCCAGCTCTCATCCAGGTTTCTCGCTCACTTGTTAGCTTTGAGATTGGTTGCACTGGCTTTGCCACAAAAATTGGGTGATGGGCGGCTTCAAGCCACTATCCGCGGATTCAGGAAAGAAAGCTGTCCCGTATGAGTGTGTTTCCGTGATGCTTTGGGCGCCTTCTGTTTCCTGAGCAGGGTCGACGGCTGCAACGGGGCACGCTATAGGTGCAGGGCAGGGATTAGTTTGGAGTCATTCGCCTCTCATGCCCGATGCAGGAAGTCATGGGAAACGCCGATGGGCGCAATGTGTCAGTTTCATCAAGGGGATCTCATGATCTAGCGACGTGCTCCGCACAAGTTGCTTCCCATGCATCGGATCACCTGAGTGTTTTCTTCACGCTGGAAAGCTCCTGTGCTGTGGCTCTGGTGGAACGAAGCCAGACTTCTTCACCTGAGCCCCAAGTGCCAACGAAATCTCTGAATTGAGGCAGCGTGTATTGAAAAGGTGTGCGCAACATAACCCAAGGGGTCTACATATGGAACAGGCTATGGCTGGACGTCAAGCATGTCTTTTCATGTGAGGACTCGGCGAAGAGTTTGTCTTGAAATCAGGGACCAATAATTAGTGTTGCTTCCAACATCATCAAACAGGGGATGTTGGTTTTTCTTTTCTTTTTTTTCTGACCATGGAAAGCTGCACCAGATTCTCTGTACTTTCAAGCACCCACAAGACTCATTTGAGCCCTATGTTTTGTACATGGATTTGTCCCCAAGTAGGGAACCCCCAAACTGGATAGGTTCCGCTTGCGAAATCGATCGTGCCGTCCGGGAACAAGACCAATGCGGCTTCGATTGGAATGACAGAAAGACTCCGAATGGACTGTCCAGATTGCAGCCATATCAGCGTCACCGAAAAAGGACCAGATTAACATAAGTACGCACATTCCTCAACAGCGCATGATTAGAGCACTGTACAAAATGTCTAAACAACCACATCCCCCCATGATGCCTTTCGAACGCTTTAACGACACTCATGTTTATGCGTTTCTCGTATGTCTCTCGAAAAAGGTCCGGGGCGTGAAGCTCCCTACCAACTCCCCCGTGCGTTGCCGTTGACCGATCCAAGATGTCTGTCGATTAGTTTGAACAAACCATCAAACACATCGGCAAAACGTTAACCGAACTGTTGGCCTTGCTTCTGTGTAGGGCGACTCACTTAGCATTCATGATTTTTAATCTCCCTGCACACATCGAATCTTCCTGCGCTGCCCCATTTGATTCTTCTACTCTTGACATAGCTTTGTGGAGTGCCATTTCGTGCCGCCTCACTACGGAAAATAGGTTTGGTCAGTTGAGAAAACAACTCCAAAAAAGGGCACCAAGCCCTCACTGCCTCAGGGCCCGCATTTCTGGGGGACTATCCCCAAAACGACATCTTGGATTTAACACGGCCGGACCCTCAACGGACCTCGACATGTATGGGCGTGTCATTTCTTAGTGTACCCACCAAAATGGCGGTTGTCCTGTTGGTTTCCTTTAAAACCACAAAAACAAAGGGCTCCCCCCCCAAAAAAAAACAAAAAGAAATGAGAAAAAGCTGACAACCCCAGCCACCCTCTCGTCTTGCGAAGGCCGGGTGCTGGGGGTGGCTGAGGGGTGTGGCTTTGGCGCGCCTTGACGGCGCCCCGCTTCCCCAACTTGTGCACCACCGTGGGCTTCTGGGGCTTGAAGCTCCGCGGCTCCTCGCGGATCGCGGGCCTGGCAACGAGGCCGCGATCCAACCGTGCACCCGAGGCGACCGGCTTTCTGGAAAACACCGGGAAGGAGGTGGATACTGGTCTCCCTCGCAAGAAGCTTAAGTCCTTTCATCCTGGATTATGTTTGCTTTGAGGCACAAAGGCGAGCAAAGAAAACGTGGCGAATCACTATAGACACCCAGCCAATTCGAGGAAACCATGACACCAACCTTCATAATCTGGCGTGATGATAGAAAGCGGCTTGTGACTGGGATGATCTTTGACCCCAGCGAAAAGTGTTTTCTTATTTTTATCTTTTGTCGCCTAGTATTTGGGGGAAGTGACATTTTCCAAGTTCAGAGGTCAGAGCTCGCACCAAGGACCAAGTTGCTTCCTCTCAACTCCGAACCCCGGCAGTGCCTGGAGCCCTTGTTGAGGTCATACATGCTGGAGGCCCGAGGTGGTCGCGCTTGGTCCACCTCCTCCTGGCATTATTACTCGAACCCTTCGAGCCCTTTTGTGGAACCTGACAAAAAGGGAGGCCCCCGGCACTTCCTGAGTGGGTTGGTCTTTGAAAAAGTGCCCAAACTTGTTGCTTGCCACTTTAACTTGGTCCTCCCAGAAGGCTTACAGTCCAATTCAGGAAGTGAGGCCCCCTTCGCAGACGATGGCTGGGGCCGCCTTGTTTTTGATGCTCATGCAAAAGCATAAACTCTGGGTGCTTCTTAAGTGAAAACCCACCGGCGGCTTCCTGGGAAACAAAATTGGATAAAATTTCACTGGGTGCTTCTTTTGTGAAAATCCACTTGGTGCGTCCTTGGCAAAACGGAAATATGCATACCCACTCGGTGCTTCTTAAGTGAAAATCCGCTGGGTGCGTCCTTGGAAACAAGAAAACCTGCAGCAAAATCCCACTGGGTGCTTCTTAAGTGAAAATCTACTGAGTGCTTCTGAAGTGGAAAAACAAACTCTGGGTGCGTGTTTGAAAAAAGAAAAACAGGCAAAGGAATCCCACTGGGTGCTTCTTAGATAAGCGAAAAATCTATGCACCCAGTGGGATTCATCCCGTTGCGAGCTTGCAAGGGCTCGGCTCAGGGAAGAAGAGATTCGCTTGCTAGAAAGGAGCGATTTAGGTCGGCCAAGCAGCATCAGCTCAACGCAGAACACAACATGTAAGCTACCAGCCAATAACAGGCAATACTGAAGACGCTTGCTTCAGTTCGATCGGTTGTTCTGCTGCTGCTCGCTCGGCTGCCATTTCAGGGCGCCATTTATACAAACCCCACCAATAGTAACACGCCATCGCCATTTCGTGGGTCTCTCATTGGGCGAACCCCTTTCGCTGGTTGTCAATGAACGCCAAGGCAACCCGCCGTTTTCACCAACCCCTGGCAACATCCAACTTCCAACCTCTCGCTCGAAGTCGAGTTCGTTCCTCGCCAACCCGCCGTGTTTACCAACCCCCACCCCCCCCCCCCCTGGGCAAAATCCTCGCCTCGGTGGGCAAGTGGACCATGCGGTTCGAGAGCCGGTCCAGCCACAAGTTCCCGTGACCCTCGCGCTGCAGATGCGCGAAGCTCTGGCAGGGGCTCAAACTCTTCACCACGCATGCCTCAGCCACGCAAGCCAGGCGTATTTGTCTTTGAGACCAGTGGCGGAGAGCTTGTTGGTGGGGAATGCAAGTTGATGAAACTACCATGGTCCCCTCCGACAAAACCCTTACAAGCATCACATGCCCCGGTAGTCAAGGATCCCTGAAAGCGTAAAACCGAAAGAAAAAGACGTGTTTGAGGAAATTTGTGAACCAACCTTTAACTGGCTTGCGCATGCCCTTGCAACAGGGAAAGGCATGAATTCCAGGTCATGTCCCGTCCCCCTCTTTCCTCCGCGCGGGGATCTAATGGATCTGGGCAAGGGGCCGCCACGTCCCCCGGCTTCAGGTCCAAGAACTCCTTGAGATCCTCCCGGTCCAAGGCCGCCCCCAGCGCCGGGTGGTTCAGCTTGAAGTAGGCCGCCTCCGGCTTTCGGGAGGCCAACATGGCCTGCAGCTTCTGCCCGCTCACCAGCGGCGCCTGGAGAGAGGCTTGAGCACAAAAGGAAACGAGCGGGGTGATAGTCCGCTACCAGAAGAAAAGAAAAACAAAACAATGCAAAAAACACCTCCGAAAAAATGGGGAGGTGAAGCCATTCTGAAGGTGAAGTACCAACCCGCCCCCAGTTCCAACCTCTCCAACAAAACCCGCTCTAAGACCCGCTCCTCGGGCACCTCGCAGTTCATCTGGGCGTAGTGCACGTAGGAAGCGCTGCGGCGCTGCGTCAAAGTCCCCGAGAGGTCCCCCAGCTCGCGGTTCAGCTCCTGCTGCAAAGCCAACAAGTGCACCACGCCCTCCACAGCCTGCCGCACCGCCTCGTCGATGGTTTTTGTTGGCGGCGGTTTTGGGATGGGGGGTATCAAAAGGTCTGTGGTACATGGGGTCACTGGTTGGAAGCCACCGTGGTCATTTGGGGGCCAGGAATACAGATCAACCCCCATATGAGTATCGGACAATATTACTTACTTCCCGAATACGTCATCGTAAAATTGGGTAGGCCCCCATCGGTTTTCAGGGTTTTCACTACATTCTGTAACTTAAGAGTTCGAAGTACACGTCTGTTAGCCAAAAACACTGAAAGCACATTGACATAACTACTCCTACAATTTGAAGGTGAAGCGAGACCGGCAAAGCGCTGTTGTGCTCAGGGACCCACAGCTTTATTGCACGCACGCCTTGCGCGCCTGTGTACAGGCTTTGGGGAGTTCATGACTGCTTGTCTGGGAGCCCAGTGAACTCCAACCACGATCTGCCTTTGGAGGCTGCCCTGCGAGGTGGGAGCCCCCGTTTCCAATACACGCAGCAAGTGCTTAGATTTCGTGGCCCAGCAGCTAGCTCCGTAAAACCGTGTGAGGCCAAAGACCGCTGAGCACCTTTCGTAACGCACGCTCGTGCCAACAGCTACCTCAAACACATCTGCAAGCCACACGCGCGCAACTGCTTACACTTTGAGGGTGGGGAACTAGCTTTTTGGTAGAGGCAAGCCCTCGCAGAAGAATACACCGCTGACGTTTCTTTCAAGACGCGCTTAACGAGCTAGAGCTCGAGCTGCTGCTTTCAGCAGCCTCCTGCTCATGAGCACTAATCTTTTGCTGCAGCATCGGCCACACGGCACTCCTAGGGGCATCGGTCACACATCTGGAAGGTTTCCCGAACTTGTGTTGTCTAAGTGGTGTCTCTCTGCTTGTATTTTGCGTTACTCCCCGACGGTGCTGAACGGCCACAGAGCGCCGCGCAAGTTACGAGCAATCTGCGCACAATCTTTTTCTACGAGCCTCTTGTCACAGACCTGGCAACTATAGTAGGCAAACCTCCGACAAACTCCCGTGCGAGACGCGCGCTCTTGCGCAAGTCTGCGCGCTGTCTGCGAAGGGCTCTGTCAGAGCTACTTGTCACATCTGTCTGTCACAGACATCTGCGCAAAAAGATCTATCACAGCTGTCTGTCACAGGCTCTATCACTTCTGTCTGCCAGATCTGTCTATCATCTCTCACAGGCTCCGACCGAGATTTACCAGCCCAAGTTGACACGCTCTTCCACGGTCCACTCTGCCATGACTTCAACCAGATTACAAAAGCCAAAAGGGCTTTTGCGACGAACAATGTAGCATTGCAAAGTCTTTATACTCTTATTACAGGGCATCGGTCTTGGGTAGACCCCCATCGGTGTTCAGGGTTTTGATAGGTTTTAGAGATTATGAGCTAAGTGATGGCGCGCCGAATACAACCGCAGTCATTCAATTACATTGTCGGGTACTCATATGTTGGCGCATGGCATGGTGAACAGGGCGACGTTGGGTGCCCTTCCAATTCCAACTGGCAAGCTGAGAACCAGGGAAAACCAAGTGGCTCGCTGTGGTTTGTGGATGGTTTGCTTGCAACGTCGAGTGCGATTACGAAGATTCTCTTTGGCTGACGATGAAAGAACCGGACCCTTCTCCGCTTTCAAACAACACAGAAAGGAAGTTGTTTCAACAAAGGTGTACTGCTTGAACATGCTCTACACTTGCGTGGTTGGCAACACACGCTGGGGTTGGAACACCCAAAAGATTGTTGAAACAGGTGGTGTACACATTGGAGTTGCCCACTTGGTAACAAATCCTTCAAAGATACTTAAATCTGCGGAGGCTTGTTGTTCTGATCCCGTCCCTTCCCACCCAAACATCGCCCTCCCCCCCCCCCCCCCCCCCCCCGCCCTCTCCCGCGCCTGAGGCTGCAGGGGCCTCTGGTGCCACTTGGCCCCCGGCACCGCGTTGCGCTCCAGGCGATCCCAGCGGTGCAAGCGGTACGCGCTCAAAGAGAAAGTCCGCAGCACCTGGCGTCGCCGCTCATCCGTTTCCGCCGCCTCCAACCACCAAAACATAGGGCTGTGGGTCACAACCCTGTACCCCCAGTGAACATCCCAATCCCGACTAAAATAGACTAAAATGGGTGGTGCACCTACCCCAACATGGTGCCTTAGGTTTTGACCCGTGGCCATATGCCTCCGCAAAAAAGACGCGCCCGTGGTTGCATCAAACGCCGCTCAGAATGCGCACGGATGTTTTGTTTGCCTATTGGTGTTGACGGGAAACCTACCCAGAACCAGGTGGGTCTACCCCTTGGCCATAGCCACGGTCGAATATGCTGTACCGGGCGTTGGGAAGTTTGGATTCGCTGCCCTGAAAGTTTTGCGCGCCCATCTGTGGTTGGGGGTCTCCCTACCTTCGTGCACCCGGAATTTGACTGTGGCTTGCGAGCTTGAACCCCTCCCACGTGCCCTGCAATTGCGTGACACGGACAGATTTGTCTGAAATGGAGCAAGTCAAAAGGGGGGCGAGCCGCCGACTCCTATCGCCTAGAGTGTTTGGCATGGCTGTGCACGTCGAATTCATCCGACGTCTGCACGCCAAGAGGAAAAGCGCAGGTGCCGCGGGAATGGGCGGAAGCGGGGACTGCCCCTGAAGAAATGCTCAGACAATATCAAGTGCGAATGCCCATGCGCTGACCAAGCGCAGTTGACAAGTTCTTCAAGGCGAGCGTGATCTATTCGGGTATCGGGGTCTGGCCAGTGACCCTCCAAATGCACTCGACCAGTCGAAAGGGCAAGGAGCATAGCTCGGGTGGCCCGGAGGCCAGGCCCACAAACAATGCCATTTTTGCACGAAGACAATTTGACTCTCGAGTTGACTTTATGCTCGGTAAAAATTTCCTGCATCCTTCAAGAAGGCTGCGACCAAACTGCGGGGCAGCGAGTACCGAGAGTCACAGAGCTGCCAGGATGTTGGCAAGCGGACATGCCCACACTCCGCTTGCTCAGCGAGAACAGAAAGGTTTTGAGTGTGGCTCAGTTCACACTCGTCTTGGACTTGCCAACTTGCAAGCGGTTTGCCGGTTTGCCAGGGCTCGAAGAAGCTGGATTCCATTTGGAGCGGACCCTCCGTTTTGACATACTGCCATGGGTAGCATGTGAGCCACGGTAGTGGCGCCAACATTCCACAAAAGGATCCAGAAACTATGTCTGGTAACCCTAGTCGGCAGGTTGCTTGACCATGCATCCAAACACCCCGCCTCAGCCAGGCCAGCTTGGTAGATCTCCAGCCCTTCCCGCTCCAGCCAGGCCGCATAGGCCACCTTGACGCATCAAAGCTTCCAATTCCTGGAGGCCAACTCCTTTAAGGGGGTTGTGCTCCACCGCCACTTGACACCAGCATCTCCCCTACCTTAAGAGGAGGGGGGTGGGGGGTCCCACAATTCCATTATTCAGTCTTCCCCACAAAAGGGAAAATGGAACCCAAAATAGAATTCCAGGGGTCACCCCCTCCCCCAATTCCATTTTGAAGGGGTTGGGGATACACCATCCACTTCTGGGCTCCACTTTACCACGCCATCCACGGACGGAAGTTCGGCGCCTGGGTATCGAAGACCGAGTGGACACTCACCCGGTACCGGTTCAGCAGCAGCGACACGGCCTGGGGTGATCCTTCCGCTCGTTTTGGGATGAGCTTGGCATACCAAGAGGCAACCTACACTTGAAAGAGAGGTTGGGAAAAATTGGCCAATGGGGAACATGTCGACGCCATAAACCATGAAGATATCCTTTATCTGCGTTCTTCAACAGCAGCACTGGGGTGTGTCTTCAAAGGAAGCCAAGATGGGCGGTTGCCTGTTGGTGTCCCTTTAAACAAACCCCAACAACGGCCCCCTTAAAGAACGGGACCCCCACGGCCTGCTCCAAATGACGAAGGACCTGGCCTCCCGGCAGTCGTGAAAGACCTTCACCAGGCCTGTAGATTGGAAGACGGGCTCCAGGGGCCCCAACATCTCGGGTCCCCCCGTCTCCACGTCCACAAGAAAAACGGCCTCGGCGGCATTTGCTGCTTTTGAGACTTGACCCCTGATCCCTTGATAAACCCGCCAGTGATTCATCTCAATCAATTTGGGCAATACGTTAGGTTGAAGGAAATGGCACTCGGGCAATTCCCCCCCAAGCGCAGAAAAAGAAGAAGAAAAAAACGCTTGGACTTTCCTTTTGGTTTCCCCTTCAACCAACCAACAAGGGCACTCCCAAAAAGATGTGTCCAATTGAACAGTCATCCCAAAGAAACTCACTTTGAGTTTGCCAGACACGTGAATTCATGTTCAAAACCACTCAAAAGGAAACTTACTTCGAGCCTGAAAGGAAACCATCCAAGGCAAGCTGCCAGAAAGAACGATGCCAAGGATCTCCAACAAACAAAGCACCTCAGGAATCTCGTTAAAGGAGTGGAAGGGAAGCAACCTGACCACCAGGCCCTTTCTGTACAAATGCCCAGAAAGCCTGGTATTTGGGTGGAGTTCAAAAACCATGTAGAAAATATACTGTTGGATGCCTCGAAGAGGAAGCTAACAGGGGAGAAACACTTCGGGAAACCCTACAGAAGTGACGAGGGTAGAAACTTGGATCCCTGCAGGCCACCCCTATAGGGTGATGAAAAACACACATGTACCGTAAAGGATGACCACAGGAACCAAAGGAACCAAAGGAAGCAAAGGAAGCAAAGGAACCAAAGGAAGCAAACTGAACTGGATGAAGGGGAACACCACAAAAACCAAAGCCCACGGAAAGCCAAAGAAATCAGAAGGAAGCCAAACAAAAAAAAAGGAAAGGAAAGGAAAACCAAGGAAAACCAAAGGAAAACCAAAGGAAAGAAAACCGAAAACCAACGGAAACCCAAAGGAAACCCAAAGGAACCCAAAGGAAAACCGAGGAAAACCAAGGGAAAACCAAAGCCAAACCAAAGAAACTCAAAGGAGACGAAGGGAAGACCATAATAATCAAAAAAAGAAGCGAAACCAAAGCAATCCAAAGAAGACCAAGGGAAAACCCTACTACTACTACTACTACTACTACTACTACTACTACTACTAATAATAATAATAATAATAATAATAGCAAAACCAAGGCAATCCAAAGGAACCGAGGGAAAACCAAAGGAAAGCCAAAGCAAAAGGAACCACTGCCCCGCCTCTTCAGTGGCCAACTGCAGCACGCCCAGGCGCCCGAAGCGCCCCGAGACTTCGCCGGAGCAGTCCACGGCCACGGCGGGCTGGCCCGAGCCCAGCACCTGAGACCGAAAGGCCGAAAGCAGAACCCCTGGCTCAAGCACACGGGGAACTGAACTGGGGGTTGATCAAAAGTTCATCAAAAAGGTCTACACAAAATGACCATCGGGGACAACCACCAAAAAAGAGACTTCCCCACGAAATGGTAAAAGCTACCCATGGTCACTTGGCTGTGGTTGTCAAAACCGTTTTGGTATCCCATTTTGGGGTAGGCGAACTCACCCCCCATTTTAGAACCTATTTAAGTGGGGGTTGGGATGTTCACTGGGGGTACGAGTAGGATTTTGACCCATGGCCACTTTCCCACAAAGGGGAATGTCATCCTAGTGTGTTTGGCTCCATGCTCATCCCATGTAAAGGACCTGCCAGAGGGGTGGGGGGTGTCCCTGGTCTTAGGTCCAACCTCAGCTTCCCTATTGAGGGAATGGCATGCTCTGAGTGAGTTTTGCGGATATTAGTCATCCCATGCAAAGGACCCTTCAAAGGGATGGGGGTTGATGATGAGGGCAGTCCATACTCTCAGGTCCAACCTCAGCTTCCTCCTGATTGGTTTGGAACGCCTCCAGAAGCCCGGGCAGCCTTTTCTGCACAAGCAAGGTTTGTTCATTATTCCATTGACCCCCCAATTGACCATGAGCTCTCTTTTGCGTCCCATATGGGAAATTGCATCCTAGTGGGTTCTCTCGATGGGCATCCCGCTATCCCATGTACCTTTTGATCAACCTCCATATAGGGATGGACAAGGGGTTGGTGAAAGGTCCCAATTACCCGGGCTTTAAATGTGGCGCAACAAAGCCAAGTTGGGAGCGCAAGGCGTGATGAGAATGTTCTTATTTAGGCGGTACGGAATTTCTTCCGGTTCCCTATCAACACCAAGAAATTCATGAAACAACTCCACCTACGTTTTGGGCGATGCCTGTCTATTTTGTCCCTGGGGCGAGGCAAATGGGCATGTCGTTTTGAGACTACCCTGTTTGGGGGTGGATCAAAGGGGAAGCCACCCATCTTGGGGATTCGAATCCGCTCGATTCACGATTTGTTCCACATGGGCCTTGTTGGCCAAGATCTCGCTCTGCTGTACGGTGGTCAGCAAGCGCACCGGCAGCCGCCGGATGATGGCTTCCTTGCCAAAAAACTGGTGCAAGTGCGCGGACACATTTCGGAAGAAACAAAAGGACATGTCCTTTGGAAAGGGGCGCGGAATAAACTTGGGCTTTGTTTTGTACTTGTTCGGTTTTGCTGAGGGTGCCAAAACGCTGTATGTTCAGTATGTTCTAGCAAATTTGAAGGGGGGGGGGTATTGCAGTGTCAATACTAATAGATGCGGCTGTTGGCTGGGGCTTGCTTCGAGGTGGGGGTATACGGTTGGAGGGCGGTTTTTCAGGAGTCGTCAAAAAGAGCGACACAAGGTTCGAAAGCCGCAAAGCCTCAAGCCACAAACCAAAGCCACCAAAGCCTACTTCAGAAGCCACAGCCACAGGCGGTTCCGAAAAAGAAAAGAAAAAAGGAAAAAAAACGGACAGATCGCCCTCTTTGGACGCCACAAAGGCTCCATGTCAAACGAACTCCGAGCGTCGTTTTGATCCGCTCGAATCGCCTCGCCCGCCAGAGGCGGCTGTGCGGGCACATCCGAGTGCTGAAGCCATTCCTGGACAGCCTCAAGACGAATCGGTTTTCATATTCTGCTGTGTTGCCTTTGGGGAAACTAAAGGAAATAAGGAAATCAACTCTTTGTGGGGGTCGTCCCCCCCATATCCAGGACCCCAATATCCAGCAAACTCCTGCGCAGGTTCACATCTATCTAAACTGGTATTTGTGGCACGCAAACACCCAAGAATCAGCGGAATCTGACAGGTAATTTACACACATCGCGAATCCATGTTAGTCGAACATATGCGTCGGGACATGAGGCAAGTGGTAAGTCCTCTGGGAAAATTCGTGAAACCCGCCTTCCTGTAGGCCGCCGGCCACTCTGACCGCGTCTTCCGGGTCTTCCTGGGCACACTCCTTGAGCTCTGGCTCGCAAACAAAGGGGCTCGAGAAACGAAGGGGCCCAAGCTGCGGACAATGGCATCGCTCTCTTGAAAGCCGCGAGGAGGGCGGACTATGTCTTGACACACGCCCACATGGCTATAATTCTTTCATGTGGAATACCCTCACAAAAATGATTGGTGGACATAAATCCATGTGTTTGATGGTTCCACCGAAGTGTCCAACGTCAATTAAATTTCGCGCACACACACACACACACACACACACACACACACACACACATGTGTTCACACACTGGTCATGACATGCCTTTCTATTTTGCAGACTTTCCGCCCAAAGCATCGTTTTCGCAGGCATCTCCCTTGGGGAGAGATTACCAGCTTCTTCCAATCATGGAAGGTGGAGGAGCCTTGGAGAAGGGACAGGCTTCCAAAAAACTCCGATCGTCCACGTCCAGGGCTGGAAACAGGTCTCTGATCCCACCGAGGACCACGCCACCGCCGCTGCAGGCGGAACAGGCCAACTGCCCGCCGCGCCAGCATGGCGCCAAGTCCATGCTCCGCTTCGACCGTTCCGCACTTGGATTCGCTATCCTATTTGGCTGTGGGTCAAAACCCGGGAAACCCCTAGTAAACGTCAAATAGGTGGCAAATGGATTGCTCATCCACCCCAAAATGGAGCCATAGGTTATGCCGTTATGCCGCGTGGTTATTTCACCAACCTGAATTAGGACACCTAAGAAACGTGCACACTTCTTGGTCATGATGTACATGAAATGTCATGCCTCCCCATGGTTGAGGGTGAGCATTGAAATTCAGCACACAGTGAGCATGTTCAGCTCACCCCTAGCTCGCTACAAGATCTTAACTTCAGGTTTGCCCTCGCACCAAATGCGCTTCAAGCAAGCCCGCTGCTGTCCAAGGTAACGTTCGGTGCGTCTGCATGCCGCAAAGCCATGGTTGCTGGCTTACTTATTTGTCCAATGCAAAAGCTTGAACACAGCAGGCATCTAAAGGTGCTCAACTGCTGCTGCATCTACGTGTCAAGTGCTTTGCGTGCGTGTCCATTGCCAGCTTACAAAGCAAGCGTGGCGAGTACTCATCCCAGCTTGCAATGAGTATGGCCGCACGATTCCCTCCACACACCATAAGCCGAAACATTCACAAGCATGAGGGCGCCCTCTTTCACTTCGCCGCATTCGTCCGGATGTCTTTGAGACCATAAAAGCCATAAAACTATCACACCAGTGACTACACTCCCTACGCGGGCCTGTACGCTGGCAACTTGAGCTCGGCGCCGAGCTGCAGCACGCGTCCATCTGCAGGGCGATGGGCAATTTCTCAAGCCCGACTCTCCAGTTCTGTTCCCCTCACCTTCTCTGATGCATTGTGCTTAAACATAAGCATCTGGAGGCTGCGCATGACGGAGATCATGAACAGAGCTCTCCAAAAGAACAACAACAAAACTTTAATAATAATAATACACGGGAAAAAAAGGGGAGAAAAAAAAGGGGGGGGGGGGGGGGAAAACACTACAATCCCCCGGTTTTGGGGCTTGTAGTGTTGGCCTCGGCAAGCGCGCCAAGCGCCCAGACACCTCACCCTGGACGTCTTGGGCACCTCAGGCATGTTGAGCTCCACATTTTGTGCGCCAAAGTGAAGCCCACCATTTTGGGGGGCGACTTTAAGACACAAATGGGCTAAATAAACCTTTCCATGAACCCAGTAAGAGGGTCATGAACCCCTGGGGTTGACCCCTTCGACTTCACAGATCAAAGGTCCAGCCTCAAAGCACGGCAAGCCGAAAGTCCTCCACTCTCACACCAGCAGAGCTGACACCAATTGGGGAATTGAGGTCCACCAGCCATTTAAAGTTACTGCTCCAATCAAAATTCCACTGCCACATGCTTCCCGTTCACTTTTCTTCAGAATCCCTAAATTGTGTCTTGTGTGGAGCTACCGTTTTCGGAAAACCGAAGACACATGGCCAGTTAGGGAACCCACAAAACGAGAGGTTCCCCCGGAGTCGACTCGGAGTCGAATCGGAGTCGTCCTCCACCAGGATCTTCTCCACGCCCAGCTGCCGTGCCTCCGCCTCACCGAATAGGATGGGCGCGCGGGTGGTTGCTTGCTTGTGGGAGCGCGATTTGCACAGCACCCAAGATTGACAAACAAAGACGGCAGAAACAGATTGCTGTTGGAGTTCCAAGTTTGAACATGCCGAAATAGGCACCAACTCCCAGAAAAGGCGAGTTGTTTACCTGGTGCGCGCAATCCGCACCCCGGCACCGCAACCCAATGGCTCAATGTAAAAGCCGAGATTGTGCCTACTGGTGTCCTTGTAAAACCGACCCAAAAAAGGTTCGCACAAAAAACAAGGACAGACCCAAATGTTGGTTCCGAAGGAAGCCGAAGGAAATAAATGTTCTACGAGTTTCGATCAACGGCCGGATCTGCCTGCAGCCACTCAGCGACGGGCACGGGCTTCTTGTCGGAGGCCCCAGCCTGCGTGCGGCTTGAAGCTATCGACATGGCGTTCCATGGACCACGGTGACCCAAACTGAAGCCACGGAGAAGGGAAGCCACAAGGAAATCATTGGCTTTGTTCATAAAACCTTTTGACCAAAAAAACGCGTTGAAAACATGGGGTTGCCGCATTTCCAGAGCTTCACCCGGCGCAGAACCGCGATAGCCTTTTGCGTTTCCCCCGGCCTGCGGCGCCACAAGCTCCTGACCTAGGACGCGCAACGCAAAACGCATGAAAATTCCCCTGGGTTTGTCCATTGCTCAAAAGGCCGGGGCAGGGCAGCACAGTTTCTTGGTAGAACCGGTTGGTCTTGCCGTCGATGACCTTCTTCAGGACCTGGGAAATGCACGGACTCGGCCGATGGACCCAGCCAGCAGTGTCCCCACAAGGCCGGACCTTGGGTTATAGTAGAAATCTTAAGATTCTTCTGCAACAACAACAACCACAACCAACAACCACAACAACCACAACCACCACAACAACCACGACGACGACGACGACGACCACAACAACAACAACAACAACAACAACAACAACAACAACAACAACAACAACAACAACAACAACAACAACAACAACAACAACAACAACCAACAACAACAACACACAACAACAACAACAACAACAACAACAACAACAACAACAACAACAACAACAACAACAACAACAACAACAACAACAACAACAACAACAACAAAATAACAACAACAACAACAACAACAACAACAACAACAACAACAACAACAACAACAACAACAACAACAACAACAACAACAACAACAACAACAACAACAACAACAACAACAACAACAACAACAACAACAACAACAACAACAACAACAACAACAACAACAACAACAACAACAACAACAACAACAACAACAACAACAACAACAACAACAACAACAACAACAACAACAACAACAACAACAACAACAACAACAACAACAACAACAACAACAACAACAACAACAACAACAACAACAACAACAACAACAACAACAACAACAACAACAACAACAACAACAACAACAACAACAACAACAACAACAACAACAACAACAACAACAACAACAACAACAACAACAACAACAACAACAACAACAACAACAACAACAACAACAACAACAACAACAACAACAACAAACAACAACAACAACAACAACAACAACAACAACAACAACAACAACAACAACAACAACAACAACAACAACAACAACAACAACAACAAACAACAACAACAACAACAACAACAACAACAACAACAACAACAACAACAACAACAACAACAACCAACAACCAACAACCACAACAACAACAACAACCAACAACCAACAACCAACAACCAACAACAACAACCAACAACCAACAACCAACAACCAACAACCAACAACCAACAACCAACAACCAACAACCAACAACCAACAACCAACAACCAACAACCAACAACCAACAACCAACAACCAACAACCAACAACCAACAACCAACAACAACAACAACAACCAACAACAACAACCAACAACAAACAACAACCAACAACCAACAACCATTCGTTCGCGCAGCTCTTCCCACCCAGCCCACCTTCTTTTCATGATTGGTGTCAAATTCTTTCACACCCAGGACTTTCCCTGGGTGGCACCGAAGATTGGCCTATGGGTAACAACCATACCCATAAGGCCCAAGAATCTCTTGGTGTGGGTGGGTGGGTTACACAGCAGCGGGTGGCTTGCCCCTTGACCCAAAATGGCGCGGGAGACACCCGCATAACCCGCCCTCCACCCTCATGGCGAACTCACTCATGTTACAGGCCACATGAATGTTCTCTCCAACATTCGTTCGCGCGCAGCTCTTCCCACCCAGCCCACCTTCTTTTCATGATTGGTGTCAAATTCTTTCACACCCAGGACTTTCCCTGGGTGGCACCGAAGATTGGCCTATGGGTAACAACCATACCCATAAGGCCCAAGAATCTGCGCTTAATCTTCGGACGAGGATGAAGCTGAGGTGGAGGAAGCAGATGCTGGAGAACGAGGGTGGCACTTAGGACATTTCCTGTACCCATCGAGACCATCGATGGTGTACCTGATAGTTTCGGCATGCAACTTCCCTGCGAAGCTCCAACCACAAAGCGTCTTCCAGTGAGAAGTGGGTTCAGCAAGGTCAACAATTGACTGATGTGCCACTTTTGAGGCGTCATTGCGCACAGTCCATACTTCCTTGCCAGTCGAATTTGAATTCAGCATTATTCCCATGCCATCAACCTGGTGCGCGATATCGCCAACCTCCTCGGTCAACTGACGCAACTCGCGCCGAAGGGAGGCTGTCCTGTCAATTCTGTCCATGTAGTCATTGACTAGCGACTTCACATGGGCTTTTAGGTCCATATCTGAAGCAGCTTTCGGCTGAACATCTTGAATGATGGAAAATTCACAAGATCGGCTCAAGCGATTGCAAAATCCTTGCAGAGGCGCATCAGCGAGGTATGAAAGAACCGCAGTGCTACCCCAGCGACCAATCAACTGAATGGTTATGGGATCCAGACCCCAGGCACACAAGGTCCTTGCGCCCGTGATTCTGAACGTGTGCCCGGATATGCACCAGTTTCCTCTCCCGTCCTTAGCAGTTCCCTTTGCCATGAGAACCGCCTCACGGATGGTGTTGACAACGCCTGCCTTGGTGCAGTACTCAAGGTCAGTTGTGGGGAACAAGGGGCAATTTCTGTCGCCAAATGTTCGCTCCAGCAGAGCGCAGTGATCAAGAAGAACATGAACCGGACAGCTCAACCCCCGGTCGCAAAGACAGCTCCACGTCCTTGAGCAACCCTTGGCCTGCCAGTCCACCTTTGAGACTGGCAACCTCAGGGTTACTGAGTCCTCAGTGAAAGTGACATCACGGCGATCCACCGCAGACGCCTCCAACTCCCGCAGCATGAAGAGAGTTGACACCAGGATCATGGCCCGAGGGTTGATTGGTCCAGAGCTTGCCAGAGGGGCCACATCCTTGAGAGCGTTCATCACTTTCAGTAAGTCAAACTGCTCCGATCTGTGGGATGGCGCAAGGCCTCTCAACACCGAGCGCGTGCATTTCCGCGAAACCAAATCCAGCTTGTCTGACCATGAGTGGCCAGCACTGATGCGATGGTCCTTTATCCGCGACATGTAGTTCTTGAACGACTTGTAGCGGCCCAGCTTGAAAAGAGAGGACACTCCCATGATCTTTTCCGGGGTGAGCGGAATGATGTCAGAGTTGTTAAACCACTTTTCATGGAAAGACGTCCAAGTGTTGAGTAGCGCGTCTCGTGGCGCTCTACTCGATGACGCAAACATGTCATCCACCAGGCTTCCCATTGCACGATGGAGTGTTTCCGACTCGGCGTGCAAGACATGGGCTTTCGTGGCATTTCCAAGTCCAAATTCGTTTGGGCGCCTAACTACAGGCATGTCCCTTCGTTTAATCCGTTCAGTCTCCCAGGGGCTGAGTGATGAGGCAGAGGGTGGCCCAACACCAGCACCCTCATGCCTGTGAACTCCTGAGGGAAGGGTGACAGTTGGACGAGGGTCCACACCCTTGCCCTGAGACACACGACTCAAGACATAGCCTTGGAGATCAGCAGAAGGTAGCCTCGGAATGAACTGGCTCCTGCTGCGCTTCTTAGAGTTCATGCCCTGAGCCAACGCTGCGCGCTCCTCTAATCCACCCAAGAGGTGGGTGAGGAAATCTCAAACGCAAAGCACTCAAGGTCGCAACCCGCACAAGCAGCACAGCGTAAGTCAAGCAAGACAAGAGAGAGCAACAGCGAACACAGATCAATCCGCACCAGCCACACACTCTCGCGCCCTTCATTTTGCAGCACATTGAAAGTCATGCTCGAAGTTGTGAAACCGCCTCATCTTGCTTCTGTCTTCTCCTCTTGCGACTTGGGTGACGAATTGGATCCGAAGAATCCGAAGTTTCACCCAAGATCACTGCCCTTGGCGTAGCCGGTGAAAGTTCTACCCTAGGGCTTAGTGTTCTCCACCTGGCGGGTCCGTGGAGGGGGCACGATTGCACGGGCTCCCGACAAGGTGCTGGGAAGCACAAATGCCTTTCCTGGATCAAATCTCCGGCCCAGATCGAGAGGGAGCTCTTCGAGGTGGAGGAGCAGCTCGTCAGCAAGAAGATCGCTGAGCGGCTGCCGGTCTCGCTGGCTGCCAAGAGCGCAACCCTCGCTGCCTTGGAGCGGGTTGAGAAGGCGCGCAAGGAGCTGGGCGAGGCCTCCAGAGAGCTCCTCAATGCGCTGAACCTGCAGGGCAGCACCACCGACTCGCTGTGACGCGGCACAGACAGAACAGAATCCCGGACAGAAAAAAGACGCGCTCGTCCGACCGATCGAATATTTTATTATTTTTCTATAGAAAGCAATTTATTCAGCTCAAACCAATTCGCGCCATGACCTCCGAGCTGTCCGATCGCATCTTGGGCCGCCTGGGGCTCAGCGCATTTGTGACTCCCGGGATGTGCTCAAGCACATCCGGCTTGAACTGGGCCTGCCCCAGGTCCAAGGCATATTCGCGCGCAAGGATATTCTGAGCTTGCGAACGCCCCTTCACTGCCCCAAAAATGGTCAGCGCACCAACGTTGTCATTGCGCAAGCTCAGCCTGGCCCTCGTCTGCAGCCAGAATTGCTTCCACTGCCGAAGCGCAATGAGCCCGCACAAACCTTCCCAGGCTTGCTGACCCGTGCAATCTCCAGACCTGTAGCCCAGGACGTCTTGGTCAAGTTCCGTAATGGGGATGGCAAAGAACTCTACCGTTGCACCTTCGATCTCCAGGGTAGCCCCCATGCCAAATGGTGAGCTGTCCCGGGTGATGAGGACCTTGGGGCCGCGGTTGAGGTAGGCATCCAAGGTGAACAGGCGCGTCACCCCTGCAAGCTCACCCTGCAGAAAAGTGCGAAGCCAAGTCAGAGCCGGTCTCATCTGCTTGGACCATACACAGCCCTGCGGCGCGTTACCATCCTCCGAGTGAAGCACCGCATAGAGCTCCTGGAGAAAGGGCCTCCATGTAAAGACGATGGAAGCAATGGCCATGGATTTTCCCAAGAGTGTCCGCAGGGCTTTCTTGCTGACGACGTTGCTTGAACTTGCTTCTTCCACAAGCGCCAAGAGCTCAGACACTTTTGGCCCCGGCACTTCAACATGAACCGAAGACGGTCTGATGCTGAGCGTCATTCCAATCCACACAAGCGTGTTTGCAAGCACTGCTTTGTGACTTGCAATGGGAAAACCCATCACAGACCAAGCAATGACAATAGTTGCCGCCAAACGTCTTCGCCTGTCCCAGGAACCGCGCAGAACCGTGAGCGGGTCATCCACATACATCTGCATGCGAAACTCATCCGACAAGCTTTGCACCCAGCGTGCACCAATTGCAGCAATCGCAGCGAAAGTGAGCGGGGCTGCTCGCGACCCCTGTGCAGTTCGCAGAAAAACATAATAATGCCCCCTCAAGCGAGCCACAAAGAAACGTCGTTCTTCAGCCCTCAAAGGGATCAGCCAGAACGCGTCAACAATGTCGGCCACGAGCAAAGATTGCTCCGAGTCCACACAACCCTTCATCAGCTCCAGCGCGCTGTAAACAGCGTCAGTCAGTCTGGGCAGGACAGCCTTGTGCGTTCTTCGCGCCATTGAGGACACACAAGAACGTTTGCAGTCAAGGATGATCCTGACCTTTTTAACGACTTGGCCTGTGTCAGGGTTGGTCCTCTCTTTCACGACGCAGCCCAGCTTTGAGAGAACTGGGTCTTCGCCTAAGAAGGACGTAACCTCTTCCAGCGTCTGAAACTTGGCCAGATAGCCCTTCCGCGCATAACCTTCCAATGCGTCAAAGGCTTCAGAACTGTCTTCCACTCCCGTGTAGTTCTGGAAGTTCCCATAATCTGTTGCCAGATTGTCCAAGGAGGTGTGCTCCTCGTCAGCGTCTACACACGGAAACACTCCATCCAGGGCATTGGTGGGAACCTGGAGCCCAGCCGGAGCCCCTTCGTAAGTCCACCGTGCGCAAAGTTCTGCAGGGTCGCCCACCACATGCGCCCAGTAGTGAAGAAACCGCCCTCTAATGACTGTGCTGTAGATTCCGGTGTCAACCTCGCTGGTGTCACAATGCTTTGGCTGGTCATCGCGCCTGTTCCTGACCAAAAGCTCTGCGATGCGTGCTCTGAGGTCGTCCACCCACTGCTCGTTCTCAATGGAAGGCGCGCTCTTGCGGCCGAATGACTCTAGGACCTGCTCCTGGATGTTGGGGTTGCTGTCCAGAAGCTCCTCGATGATATTTCTGCACTGGACGGTCTGTGACCCAACGGTACACATTCCTCAAACTATTGCGATCATCTTGCGGCGCTGTCTGATCCTGCGTGCCTCTCATTGGAAGCTTATACCGAATGGTTGCTTCCTTGTCGTTGACCGTCACATGGCGAACCAATTGCACAGGCTTGAGCACTTGTGTGGCCGAGACCAGCGCCTCTGCCAGAGCCTTGTTCAGCAACCCCGGATAGGCCGCGACTGATCGTGTGATGAAATCGCCTGGCGGCTCATGATTATTCAGCAACAACGGATGCCATTTGTCTGCGCAGATTGCCCACTGTTTGCCCTTGAGCGGTGGGTGCGCAGCCCAAAGCCATTCACCTGACCAGGGAATCCTCCACCACTTCTCAGTGTGATTGCAATGAACAGCGAATTGGTTCATTGCCGGAATGTTCGACATGAAATCTGTCAGCTTCTCTGCGCTGCAGCCAAATTGACATTGAGCAAAAGTGTAGAGAAACACGTCATCCTTTGCAAGCAGGGATTCAAACTCATCCAGATTCCACATCGAAGTGGATCCAGGTCTCCTATGAGGCTGTTCAACAATCCATGGTTTCTTCCTCTTATGCAGATTTATTGCCATGGAATACGCTCTCAAAGCCAACGCGTTGCCCTCCCTGACCTTGGCGGCGTCGACTGCCCTCAAACTCTTCAATCCGTAACGACCCGGGCCTGTTGCAGATCTCAATGGTTGAGGGCCCCCGTCACGTCGCCTGGCAGCGGTGAAGGTGCTACATGATGGCGAAGCCAAACCTGCAACAACGCTGTCAAAGTTGGATTCAACCTTGTCCCAGCACGATTGATCAAGCAAGTTGTGAGAGTCGCTGATTTCAATGTCCATGCAAGTGCAATCCAGGCCCAGATCCTGTACGAACTTACCCAGGCCATCGGAAGGTCTCAAAGGACCACTGAAAAGGTACAACACACGCCCCCTGCGCCCGCAATTTTCTGTAGCGGGTGCCGGAGGCATAGCCTTGAAATTGGCTGCTGAATTCCCCCCCCCGGCGATGCTCGAAATTGAACAAGAGCTTGCCGCCGGGGGTGGCATGCAAACATCTGCTGGCTGAAGTCAGTACTGGGGGCGGCCTTTCCCCTTTCCTTTCTTGGCGCCTTTGTTCTTGCCCTTTCCCTCGCCACGCTTGACGAAACCTGGCGTCCGGACTTCCTCGTGCGGGCACCGATCTCCAGGGTGCGTACCCAGGCACTTGTTGCACTGGTGTACCGTGTCCCACTGATGCGAGCACCAGACACCCTGCGTTGCGTCTCTGCATTGGCCTGATTGGTACCCACTGCACAGACGAAAACCAGTCCTGTTGTGGGTATAACGGCCGTCCGCAACTTGGTGAACCCGCCCAGTCCTATTTTGTTTCCGCGGACGAAGGCCTCTATCGTCCTGGTCTGCTGCCATGCGCGCAGGGCCAGGCGCTGTCTCCCTGATGTCCGAGCCACTGCCAGCATTGCTCACGTTTGCGTCACCCTGGACAATCTCTGAGGGCTGCGTGATCTTAGCCAGGATGAGAAGCGCAGGCTCCGTCACTTCTTCTCTCCAAAAGGCTTCATCTGCGATCGTCCTCATCCATGTGGCATTCCAGGGACGATCCTTGTCAAAATCCGTGTCCTTCCCAGCAGCTTCGGCCTTGTCGTGGTCCGCTTGCAGAGTCCTCCTGATTCTTTCCATGTGCTCCAAGCGGCAACGGACATCAGCCTGGTAAATCACTGACCAAACCTTCGGCCCGTAGCGCTCTGCCAAGCGCTCCACGTGGGACCTGTATTTCTGCAAATGCCCCAGATCCACTGCGTCCAACATTACCAGTATGTTCAAGAGCACATTGTAGGACGCCAACCATGTTCCCAGGTTGTTTGGTCCATAGAGCTCAATCATCTTGAGTGAGCCGTCTCTGTCGATGGCCATGCCTTGAAGTTTGATGCGCTTCATGATCCTGTGACCGAAAGGCCCGAAGATGCTGAAGTCTGTGTAGGGCGGCTGGCCCTGAGAAAGCAGGTGTGCGACGCAGGAGATCTGCTCTGTAGTGGGCTGCAGTCCTTGGCAGGACGCTCACCAGCCCCAAACACAGCTTCGTATCGAGCATAGCACTTGATCACTTTCTTTTCTTCCATCATGAAGACTTCGCTCTCATCAACCTGTGAGATGATGGCCGACATCTTGATTCTCCGAGTTGCAGTTGAGCTAAGACTTCCTGCCACTGCAGGTGGTAATGTCTGGGGCGCCGCAGCCTGAGCCTGCGCGAGCTGTGCCTTGAGAGCCTCCAGCTCTGTGGCGCCAGCAACTGTTCTGCACGCCCTTCCCACCAGCCGTGCCATGCCCCACTCTGCAATAGTTGGCGCACGATCATGATCACCAACCCGAATTCTCCAGGACTGCAGCACATTCTCGAAGTCACTGCAAGAGGACACTCCCAGGACACGCGGCTTCGTGCCCGGCTTGACGCCAAGTACAGCAGCAAGTGACCCTGACAGTGTAGTCCCAGCTTCCATCTCCGAAGATACCAGACCTGCCCAGGTGAATACATCACCGATAGTCTGAAGCTGCGCGGCTTCGTCTGGTGTCGGATCCATGGCCGAGTTGCCCTGAATGCTGGGAGCAAATTGGGCTTCGCTGACAGGCTTCGAACGAGTGAGCTGCACTCAACGCCCGGGAGGGTGACAATGAGTGAAATCAACTTCACTCACCCTCCCGCCTGCACCCACTGACGCAGTGTCAGTGGGTGTCACCTGTCCACCACCCACCCACCCGCCGCCTGTGACAAAGTCGGTGCTTACACAGCAGCGGGTGGCTTGCTCCCTTGACCCAAAATGGCGCGGGAGACACCCGCATAACCCGCCCTCCACCCTCATGGCGAACTCACTCATGTTACAGGCCACATGAATGTTCTCTCCAACAACAACAACAACAACAACAACAACAACAACAACAACAACAACAACAACAACAACAACAACAACAACAACAACAACAACAACAACAACAACAACAACAACAACAACAACAACAACAACAACAACAACAACAACAACAACAACAACAACAACAACAACAACAACAACAACAACAACAACAACAACAACAACAACAACAACAACAACAACAACAACAACAACAACAACAACAACAGCAGCAGCAGCAGCAGCAGCAGCAGCAGCAGCAGCAGCAGCAGCGACAGCGACAGCGACAGCGACAGCGACAGCGACAGCGACAGCGACAGCGACAGCGACAGCGACAGCGACAGGGACAGGGACAGGGACAGCGACAACGACAACGACAACGACAACAACGACAACGACAACGACAACGACAACGACAACGACAACGACAACGACAACGACAACGACAACCACAGCAGCAGCAGCAGCAGCAGCAGCAGCAGCAGCAGCAGCAGCAGCAGCAGCAGCAGCAACAACAACAACAACAACAACAACAACAACAACAACAACAACAGCAGCAGCAGCAGCAGCAGCAGCAGCAGCAGCAGCAACAACAACAACAACAACAACAACAACAACAACAACAACAACAACAACAACAACAACAACAACAGTACTGCTCACATCACACGTGTCAAGTTTTCATGGCATCAAAAGGCTCCTTCATCTACGCATGCCTCGACACTCAAGCGCACCACTGCAACGCCTGGCCTGCTCATCTACTGCCCCAGCCTTCCTTGCGAGTCCGCAAATGCACAATGTCAAATGGCCAGCTTGGTTGGTGCAAACACAAATACCAAGAGCATGTCCTAGAAAGCAGTATTGATCCCCACAAATTAAGTGGTTTCCTTCTTGAGTTATTATAATTCATCAGCGCCTGGTATCAAGAGGGCCTACCCACCACACTCCAAAAAGAGACACCAAAGGCTCGAGTCCTTTATGGCTGCGGGAAAGATTTTGGACAGTTCCCCGCTTCCATATGATACCAGGGAAGCCCATGCTTCAATCGGAGGACTTCCCCAAACAAAGACCTGGAGCCTCCATGACCCTTCAAAGGGCGAATGGCCCCTTTTGGGCAGATGAGCTCCTGCAGCTTCTACCTAACACCGAGGGTAAGCGCTGGTCAAAACACATTTAGAACAAAGGGGAAACCAGGTGGTGCGAGGGGAAACCTTCTTTCTTGCGAGACTCAGGTGGTGCAACCACTGCACACGGCTTGGCCTGCAGCAGCAGAGCTGTGTCGAAAGTTGGGTCGTTTGATTTAGCAGGAAAGTACCACATCAGCACAAAGGCCTAGCAACTTCTGGCCACCTCTAAAACGAGTGGAAAATGTGGGAAAACACCCTACAAAGGGGAAACCTCAAAAATGGATGTTGTCCCTTTGAGCAACTCCCTATGTCGCACCAGGTTGTTTACGCAAGCTTGTGCTCTTTCCTTATGCGCCCCATGTTTTAGCTTACGCGGCAGTCAGCGTACGCGCCGCGTTTTGAGCGTTTCCCCTCAAGAATTGCTTACGCGGGCTCCTTTTCCCACGCAGCCGCCAGAACGGTTCAAGGTGACGTGGATGTCTGTGAGGGAAGAGATGACGAAGAACTACCCTCACGAGCTTCAGCGGCTTGGCGTCGTTGTTCTTACTGCAGGTCAAGAAACGGCTTGTGCGGCGGCGACATCCAAGGCGAGGGCTAGCGGGCAGCTGAGCTACGCGAGCTTACGCAAACCTTACAATCCTGCTTACGCAAGCTTACGCACCTAAGCCCCTTTAGTTTCCCAAATCTTCGGTTTCAGAAGCCTTTGTTTGTCCTATGAAAGGTTTCAACAGCACATTTGGCACGAGCCCCAAGAGTTCTGCTGGTTTTGCTTTCTAATGGTGCGCACATGCGATCTTAGATGCGCCTTCCTGCAGCCAAGGTCTCCGGGCAAGTTTCCAAGCTCAAAACAGCACAAGCCACTAATAAACACATAAGCACATGTGTGAAACAACTCTTCCGAGCATTACAGAGGTTGCCAAGCAATCACAAAGAAGAGCTTACGCGGGTGCTTCCGCAGCATGCTTCCCCAAGAGTGCTTACGCCGGCTTGTGCCGTGCGGGGTTTTGCTTACGCGAGGCCTTGTTATGACACAACTCTTGCTTAAGATGTAAAGGGGAGTTTTTTTTGTATTTAGAGCTGCTCTTTTGGCTTCCTTGCAAAACACCCCCGGCGAGCCCACATGCTACCCTCTTGGCGAGCTGATGTGAATGTTGTCCGCAGCTGACCTGCATATTCCTTGTGTTGTTGCATCCCGCGCTGGCTTCACCCACACCTAACTCTAAGCAGGAAGGCCCTGTTACGGCAACTGAAACCATAGCTGCTCTTGAACCTGGCTGCTGCCTCCGCCAAAGCTTGTGTGACCCCAGGTCACGACAGCTCCAGATTCAAGAATGGCAGCGAAAGCACCGGCAGTCGCTTCGATGTGCTGGACGTTCCTCAGCTGCTCTTGCACCAGGCTGCTATCACCGCCGTATTTGCGATTACCCCAGGTCACAACAGCCCCAGATTCAAGAATGACAGCAAAAGCACCCATGGCAGTTGCTCGGACGTGCTGGACATCCCTTAGTTGCTCTTGCAACTGGCTGTCTCCCCAGTCTGGACCACCCCAGGTCACAACAGCCCCAGATTCCAGAATGGCGGCAAAAGCACCGCTAGTTGCTTGGATATGCTGGACGTTCCTCAGCTGCTCTTGCACCTCGCTGCTGTCTCCACCATATTCTGCAACACCCCAGGCCACAATAGCTTCAGATTCCAGAATGGCAGCAAAAGCACCCTCGGTTGCTTGGATTTGCTTGACGTTCCTCAGCTGCTCTTGCACCTGGCTGCTGTCTCCACCATATTCTGCACCACCCCAGGTCACAACAGCCCCAGATTCAAGAATGGCAGCAAAAGCACCATTCACAGTTGCTTGGATGTGCTGGACATTCTTCAGTTGTTTTTGTACCTGGCTGCTGTCGCCGCCAAAAATTGGATCACCCCAGGTCACAACAGCCCCTGAATCAAGAATGGCAGCAAAAGCACCACGAGTTGTGTGGATTTGCAGGACGTTCCTTAGCTGCTCTTGCACCTGGCTGCTGTCCCCACCGCATTCTGGGTCACCCCAGGTCACAACTGCCCCAGATTCAAGAATGGCAGCAAAAGCACGATCAGTTGCCTGGATGCACTTGACGTTCTTCAGCTGCTCTTGCACCTGGCTGCTGTCTCCCCCGGAATCTGGACTACCCCAAGTGACAACAGCCCCAGATTCAAGAATGGCAGCAAAATTATTGCTAGTTGCTCGGATTTGCTGGACGTTCCTCAGCTGCTCTTGCACCTGGCGGCTGTCTCCGCCAAACTGTGGATCACCCCAGGTCACAACCTCACCCCCGTAGCCGTGCCAAGCGAACGCCTTCCAGGTGGCGGCCAGTTTGCCAAGATTTACAATCGCAGCCACTGCGTCCCCATCTCGCAAACCGGCCTCGCACAGCGTGGCCGTCAAATCGAGCTGCCGGCCTTTTGCAATGAGCTTCAAGCGGCGCTGGAAATGCTTCTGCGCTGCAGCCTTCAGCTCGCTAATGAGGGTCGTCGGTGAGACTGCCATGGAGAAGCAATCTCCACTGGGCAAGTGAACATCCACCTTCATGGCGCAAGGCCGAAATGGGTGCAGGCAAGCTCCCAGACGGGAGCAAATCTAATCCAAACCGAATGGATTCTAGGGGCTCTTTTGGCGAGTGGCTTTGTTCAGGTTGAGCCATGGGGGTTGCAATTTTCATCGCCAAATGACCCGCTTGAAGTGCTTGAAGTGAGTTGTGTGTCATAACTCTGTGTGTGTGTGCAAAAAAAAACTTTTTGTGGTTGAAGTGCCAAATCTTCGTGGTTTCGCATGGTCATCCCGTGTTTTACGGAGCTTTTGATCCCATGATATATATATATATATATATTGACGAATGCCCTTCTGCATAAACACCCCCCTCGATATGCGGGACAAAGTGCGGGACAAAGTGCCGGACAAAGTGCGGGACAAACTGCTGGACAAACAACTGTCCGGCAAGTTGTCCGGGGGGTTGTCCGGACGGTTGTCCGGAGGGTTGTCCGCGCACTTTGCCGAGATTTATGCTGCAAACCCCCCCTCCCGCGAGAATACTTCCCTCCGAGTGGTTTCCGAGTGGTTTCCGAGTGGTTTCCGAGCGGTTTCCGAGTGGTTTCCGAGCGGCTTCCGAGTGGTTTTGGCGTGTTCCAAACCTGTCCGAAGACTTGTCCGGGGGTTTGTCCCGGGTTTTTGGGCCCTCAAACCTGTCCGGAGGGTTGTCCGGGGGTTTGTCCGGGGGTTTGTCCCGGGCTTTTGGGCCCTCAAAGCTGTCCGGAGGGTTGTCCGGGGGTTTGTCCGGGGGTTTGTCCCAGGCTTTTGGGCCCTCAAAGCGGGTTGTCCGGGGGTTTGTCCGGGGAGTTGTCCCGACGATTTTGGGCCCTCAAAGCTGTCCGGAGGGTTGTCCGGGGGTTTGTCCGGGGGGTTGTCCGGGGTTTTAAGCCCGTTTGGACCCAAAATGTGAAAACAGGTGTTTATGCAGAACCGCCTCTGTCAATATATATATGTATGTGTATATATATATATATATATGTGTATATATATATATGTATATCACTTGAGTGTGTCCCTAAGGACCCGAATCAAAGCAAGGGGTAATGGCCCATGTCTGATGTTCCGCAAATGACCAAGTCGTACTCCAGGTAGACTTAACCTGGGCCCTCAAGCTACCCTTCAAACTGGGCTATGGTTGGTGTTTCCCCCATTTTTTAAGGGTAGTTTGAGGGCCTAGGTATGTCTTTTTGCACATGTACCCTTGAACAATGAACCGTGTCACGTGGAGCTGCTTGGGTTTTTTCTTCGAAGATATCTCAAGTACATACTCTTAGCAGGGCTGGTATACGCAAAACGGCCGAGCTTTACTTTTCCTTCGAAATCCAATTTCCTTGATACAACACGAGAAGGGTAGCATCAGAAAAGAGGCACGCCTGAATTGAAAGACTCAAACAGCTTCTACGTGGCTCTCTACAAGTCAGAACAGGCAACCGGCCAACATGTTGGGCTGCGGAAAAGAAGCCGAGGAGGTTGCCTGAAATCTGCTTTGGTGTCTAAATCGCTTCCCTTTTGAAACGGCCCCTCAAAAAGGCACCAAAAAAAAAGGAAAAATGCCAAGCACCTCCCATTCTCTCCTCCTGTCCGGCCTTGGACCCACCTGCTCCAAGTAAGCCGCTTTGAAGACCTCCTGCTCTTTCCGCAACGTCTCAGCCTAAGATCGCTTGGGCCCCGACCCAGAAAACCTTTCAGTCAGAAATGTTTAAGCAGCGAGATATCCAAAACCCAGCCGGCAAAGGAATCAGAGTTGAGCTTCTTGCCTCGAAAAATAGCGGCGAGGGGCGGGGGGGGGGGGGGAATGTGCCTGACTCCGATGACAGAGATTGTCACGTTTCCCCAGTCATTGCACCATTCAAGGGAAGACTCTTTCAAGAATATCTATGCCACTTCGATGTTTGATCCTTGCCAGGACAAAAATATCACTGGTAAATGGAAGCATGGACTCAAAAACCTGCGGTCCATATCTTGGTGGCTTACGCTGCTGAGTAGGCAATGGGGGAATGAACCAGTTCCCTTAAAGGAAACCACAAGGGAGACCAAAATCCAAAATGGCCATGGGTCAAAATCCCGTACCCCCAGTGAACATCCCAACCCCACTTAAATAGGTTCTAAAATGGGGGGTGAATTCACCTACCCCAAAATGGCATCCCATTGGCTTTGACCCACAGCCAAATGTTCGAAACCAACCCGTCCAAGCTGAGAGGGTCCATGACCCATGCTGACGCCGGGCTCCGGGCGGAGATGCTGCCGACGCTCAAGAAGCGGGGCTGCGCTGCCACGACGTGCCTCGCCTGAATTCGGGCGAGGCGGTTCGCTCCGTCTCCAAATAGGGTCCCCCGAAATGGGGGAAGTGGCCTTTCGGCTTTGGCAAGAAAGTAAAGTTGGATCCACCATTTTTGAGCCACGGGTGCGAATGAAGAATCCCAGCTCTTGTGTCCCGTTTCCGACCTCCCGTCGATCTGACGGAGCGGCCCCCATTGCCAAAATTCTCTATATGTCCCCTTGAAAACTCGGCCGAAATGTAATTTGTCTTTTAGCACAACAAGGGGGATTATCGGTGTGTCTCTTTTTGGGGGGACATCAAAAGGAGACCTAACAATTCTAAAAGGTTGGCTGTAAGACACCCGGCTTTTCTTTGGGGGACACCGAACCTAATTTGGGTCGTCGCGCACCCCTGCTGTTAGGTGGCACCCCATCGATGCAATGCCCTTTTCTGGGATCTCGGCCAAACGAGCTGCAGTGCTCTGCAAGGCGGCTGCATCGCACCTCAACGAAGGGCCGACGTGTTTCACAGGAGCTCCTTTGCCCCAGATTGAAAATGACACCAGGGCCTCAAAGAGGCATACTGTTGAGCTTCAGTCGAGAAACACATTCGCGAGTAAAACTATCTTGGGGCGGTGACGGTCAAATATGCGGATAGCCTAACTAGCATGGGAAAACTAGCGAGTCCAGCTGGTTTGTTGGAAACTTAGTCAGTCCCCCCTCCCCCCGAGACATAAACAATACGGCTCTAGTTTGCACCAAAATCATGTGCGTAGCATAGAGCCCGTGTGTTAGAACCCATTAGAGTCCTCGCTGAATACTAGACTGTTCACGGAACCTCCTTTGCATGCGGGGCTGACCGTTGGCAATTGGCTGCCAGGGTACCCTGGTGCCAGCAGCGAAACCAAGCCAGCCATGCGGCCAGTGCCCGGCATACTGTCGGCCTCGAGTCGTGCCAAGAGAGAAACGCTCAAACTTTTTGCAAAGAAGACAAAGCATCCTACTGAAACGTTAGACGTTTTGCTCCAATATCAAACCCGGGGAGCTGGCAAACTTGGGGTGGACATAGCCTGCAACGACTCCATCAGGTGGAGGTGCTAGGAAGTGCACCTAAGCCCAGTCCGAAGCAAACACGCGTTCTCCTTGCAGGCAAGGCCGCGGCCTCAACTGATTTCCAAAGGAATGTCTGGGTGCTTTTCGTCCGGGCAAGCGCGCTTGGACTTGTGCGTCTCGGGCAATGATGGCACTTCAACAGAGCCGGCTAGTGTATTAGCAAAGAGATCAAAAATGCACTACAGTGTCCCCGTTAAATTCAATCAGTGAAAGCACGAAAGCAAGAAAGCAAGAAAGCAAAACAATGAAAGCAAGAACCAAAGAAACAAAGAAGCCGCCAAGCTAGAAAGCAATCGAGCAAAACAGGCAAGCCAATCGACCAACCACAAACAAACAAAACAAACAAACAAAACCAAACAATGCAAACAACAAAACAACACAATGCAAAACAAGACACATCAACACAAAACAAAATGCACCAGCATATGCCCCGGAAAGTGGAAAAGAGGCCGAGGATAACCGCTCGCTTGTTTTTGCACACGCATCGCTGCCACAAAATGTCAACGCACAGTCACCACTAGCACCCGGCCGTCAATCTTGCAAAACTGCGCCCACAGCATGCCGCCCAGCACCCACCCGTCGCACAAATGCGCCCACACCATCCCCAGCACCTCCAACAGCACCTGCGCCAGCACCCGAAAGCATGCTCCCTAGCACCCGGCCGTCAATCTCGCAAATAACTGTCCCCTCTTTGATAGAAATTAGAACCCCTATAGCTTTCAGCTATTTGGGGAACAAAACAAAACAACACCAAACAAATACACCAGCATAGACCCCAAATAGCGAAAAGCATGCCGACGATCGTGCTCCAGCACCTCCCAACACCTCAACAGCACCCCAGAAACAGCACTTGGCCGCGCCGTCACTAGCACCTCCAACAGCACAGTAGACAGCATCCAAAACTGCATGCCTGCATGCCGCCCCTTGCACCCTGCCGTCAATCTCGCAAACATGCACCCACGCCGGCACCGCACAGTCGCCAGCACCTCAAACTGCATCGCCAGACAGCCCCAAAACACCACCTGCACGAGCACCCCAAACTGCATGCCCCCTTGCACCGTCAATCTTGCAAAAATGCGCCCGCACTGTCATCTGCATGCCTGCTAGCACCCAGCCATCAATCTCACCAGCACCTCAAACAGCGCCCCAAACAGCACCCTCACCAGCACCCCAAACTGCATGCCCCCTAGCACCAGCCCATCAATCTCGCAAATAACTTCCCCCTCTTTACTAAAGGTTAGAACCCCTATAGCTTTCAGCTATCTGGGGAAACACAAAAGAACACACGGCAAACAAACAAGCAAGCAAAACAAGCAAGCAAGCAAGCAAGCAAACAAACAAACAAACAAGCAAACAAACAAACAAACAAACAAACAAACAAACAAGCCAACAACAAACAAACCAAAAGACAGACAAACAAACGGACAAACAAAGAGCTGGCAGTGGCAGTTTGGCGTCTGTCCAATTTTATGCTTGGAACCCAAGGCTGGGGCATGCGAAAGGACCAGCTTTTCGCCAAGCACCTGGGCTCAGGTGTGGCATCATGCAGCGAGAGCCGCGAGAAAAATGCGCGGCTCCCAAAATGAACATAGGCAAATCAAGCTGGCTTTGTGGGAAAATGAGTATCGCCCAAATGGACCTGGGTGCACGCGGGATGCTTCTGTCTAAAAGCCAGAGCCTTCTTAAATTCTCATTGCGGTCACATGTTCCAAACGCGAAGGAATAAAGGATCCCACCCTCAGTGGTTTGTGTCTGATCACTGCACATTGCATACCCTTGTCACAATTTCTATCCCAAGGAATTAGAATCAACCGCTGAACTATCCACTAATTGACCTAGCTGGAACCCCGATGGAGTCTGGCGCCTGCAAAGGTGTAATCCTCTCCAAAGTCAGCTGGTCCACCGGCACAGCCAACGTGTTTAAACCGATGTGGTTCAAATTCTCCCCTGCGGTTTTCCCGGTTTTCCCTTGCTGATGGTTACCACTGTTCTCACCCCCTTTTTCCTGCCCAAAATGTGGAAAAGTGAAGGTTCACCTTGAGTCACAACAGGAAACCAACCATGGAACCTGCACAGGAGCCTCCCCCCTTAAAAGAAAAAAAAAACTCGGATCCCGGCCGGTCTTGGGGTCCTGACCCGAGCTCCAGCGCGCCGGGGGCCCCGGCGCTGCCCAGCTCCAGCAAGGCCTCCGACAGCGCGGTACCTGCGCGCAGCTGCCTCAGCTCGCCCTCAGCTCACTCGTCCCAACGGTAGGGGGACAAATGTCAAAACGTGAGGGGCGCATCCGCAAAACAAACAAAAACTAAGAAACAAAGAAACAAAGAAACAAAGACAGAAAGAAAGAACCAAACAAGCAAGCAAGCAAGCAAGCAAGCAAGCAAGCAAGCAAGCAAAACACACAGACAGACAAATGGGCATGCGCACATCCACACACGACATGAAACCTGAATTGTACCTGCTTCCAAACTTCGCATTTCCGCATGGGTCAAACTTAACCCCTTTCTTGGGGCTGTTCAATCTTGGCATCCCGTTTGAGACACACACGTGTAGCATCCCAGGGGCCCAGGGGCTCCCTTTCTGCCACAAAGCCGGTTGGATCCTTGCCCACGGCAAGGCTCCTCTGCCACAAGCAAATTGGATCAACAATCGCCTAGGAATGGGGGCAGTTGGTGTTCCTTTGTTCCACGTGTCGAGGGCAACGCTTCGCTCAGGACAAAAAGGGTCTCCACTCTTGAGATCGCTGGATCTCTGGATGCTTTCGGCAAATGGCCATAGGCTATTTCGAATCAAACCAATCATTTGAGGTCTCGACAAGGGGTTTGGGTTGGGAGCATCCCAAATAGACCTGCGGGATTTTATCGAAACCTCATTTAGGTGGCTTGTCTTGAGTTGGTACCCCCTGTCTTTTAGTTTAGGGAAACCATAAGTAAAAGCGAAGTCTTTTGGGGGGGTCCCCTTGCAAAAAGACGCACCCATTTGCCGCTAGCCAAGCGTGCGGCGCTGGTCTATCCGGACCGTCAGCCACTAGCATCTCCAAAGCTGCCTGCAGGCAGTCAAGCGGTGACCGCGTGCGGCTCAAAACAGCATCCAACACCGCCTGCATGTCCTTTCCCAGTCTTCACTCCCGTCAGGCTTCCATTTTTGGATTCTCCCAGAAAAGACAACAAAACAAAACAAAAAGCAGCGGTCCTCACTTGGCAAAATCAACCAAACATGGGTGTTCAATCTACTTTGGGGCAATTATGCGGACGTTCCTGCCCATATACATCAGCAAACACAACTGGCATCAAGTCTGCGACAGTCGTGCTGCTTTCGGCTGAGCCTGAGTTCCACCTGCTGCAACATCAGGCGCTGCTGCTAGCGTGGAAGCCAAATATCGTAATGTCCTTAGTGTAGATGTGTGTGTGTGTGCGCGCGCGCATCGTGGTCAATACATCTTGGAAGGACCCTAGTGTCATTTCTTCAAAACGAGTTGGTGGCCAACCAAATGTTGTTCTTTGGCAAAGACTGCAACTCTATGCTCCCCAAATTGACACCCTTCAAAGGAAACGTTGGGGAATCCAAGAACCCGGTCAAAGGTGCGATTGGGCTTTATATCCCGGCTAGTTCGACGTTTCGCAGGGTTTCTCAGAAGGGTTGCTCTGCTGGCATCATTGGGCGCTGCTATCCGAGAAGCCGGCTGCTGGTACACGTCGCTGCGTGTCACGAAGTCTGTCTCTGCCTCAGATGCGCTTTTGCCTCAGGTCTGCCTTGCTTTACCTGCGAACACGAATCGCAAAAGTTGCGACGGCATGACTTTGCATCCAATGTGATGATGAAGATGAAGATGATGAAGATGATGACGATGATGATGATGATGATGAGGAGGAGGAGGAGGAGGCGGAGGTGGAGGACGATGACGATGACAAGGACGGTCACGATGAGGACAAGCCCGCGAACGGCCACATGAACGATCACGACCGGCCACGACCACGAAGTGACCTGACGACCTGACCATGGCGGCCACGACAACCACGATGATGCTCGGACTCCCGGCCCGAAGCTCCACAATGGCGCCGCCATTCTGCTGGAGGCCCAGCCCAAGTAGAGCCTCGATGGAGTAAGTCCCAACAGGCAAGTAAAATGGGCTCTCTCCTCTTTTTAGGTTGGATCCCCCCAAAATGGCTTCGGTTTTCCCTCTTGGTTTCCTTGTAAAACCATGGTAAGATCCAAGTTACAAAGTGAGCGTTTTGGCTCTACTAGAATGGCCATATAGGTTTACATACGGTTTACATACTCTTTAGTGCAACCCCAACTAAGGGCGAACAACCACCTACTAAAATGGTCAATGAGGGTTTTGATCACGGAGCCACAGCGCTGCAAATGAAACCCCGGAAAAGAAAAAAAACCTGACCCAAAGAAATACAACATCCCACTAGGGCCTTGCCTCAGTTTGGCGGCGTGAGGCTCTGAGGTAGGGGCTTCCGCCGACTCGGTGGCACGCTTCTCCATGGAGCGCACACCCCGCTTCTTCAGCCAGTCCACGGCCTTCGCAAACCCAGGATTTGCCCTCCCCACGCCCCACTTTGCCATGGCACCTGACAGGGGGTCTCTAGAGAAATCTGATCTTGGCCAGTTGGATCCTTTTCTCCTTTTCAGCCCGGCCGGAACGGGAATGACAACATCTCTGCTCGCAGGTTGAGTCAGGCTTTCGACTTCCGCCTTCTCCAAATCCCCCTCTTCCTCTTTCAGAGCCTCCCGGCACCTCAGGCTTTCGGATAGTCGACACCCACTCACCTCAACGGGGGCAACCCCAATTGCAAGGGCTTCTTGACGCCGCTATGTCTTGGGAAGTTCAAAGGCCCAAAAAACTAACCTTCAATGCCAAGCCAGACTCGCCAGCTCTCCGATCGCCCCCAACTTGACACCGCAAAGAGGGTGCTGAGCCGCAGGCTTTCCTGGCTTCGTTGCAACGGCCACTGGCTGAACCAACGTCGGTGGTTTGTCGCTTACCAGCCGAACCGGTCAAAAAGCGGCCCCCTGGCCACTGGCTTTCGCGACACGGCCGATTTGCTCGAGGTGTGGAATATCCTTCTGGCTTCGATCCAAGCGCGCCAGCAGGACCCATGGAGGCACCAGTCCTGTCCCGCAGCTCCTGGCTCGCGCGAAAAGCGCCAGAAGAAGCTCACCGATGGAAACCTTGGCCCAAAAGCCATAATCGAAACCTGGTATTAAGTAAATGGCTGCCCAAAACAGTGCCTAGCCAAACGACTGCCCCTTTCTCACCTTTTCCGGTCAAGTACTCACCGTCATGGCTCGCAGAATCCGCCTTCACCCTCGCAGCGGACACGCAGAAGCCGCGCACAGGCACCTCGACACCGAAACCAATTGTTGTGAAGGGAAGGGTCCAAATCTCCCAGTGCCGTTTTTTCCCCAACACCTGAAAGCCAAGGAGTGCTGTTGGGGATATCACCCGAGCGGGTCCTTTTGAACGATGTCGATGTCCAAACACTGTTCATCCGACCGCAAACCGCTGGGCCCCAAGCCGGGGGGCTGCAAGCCCTCAGTGGCCGAGCTGTCGAAACGTGTGCTCAGTTCAGGTTTAGAAGAAAAAACATGTTGTAACATGTTTTTTAATCCACTTCGGTTCCCCTGTAAAGGGCACCAGTTGTTTGGGCCAAACCTCTCAGGCCTCCGCCAAGATCGGATCGGCCGCGCCAAAAGGCGGAACTGACCTGAGGTGCAAAAGGCAAAGTGGGGCAGAAGTAAAAGAAGCTGCTGGGTACCCGACGCATGCTGACAACTCAGGGCAAATGAGTCAGACTGCTCGTGCCGAGCGACTTAAATGTGCGTTCTCCACTCGGTGTGCGATGGGTGATATCAGAAGCCCATCAGAGTATATGTGAAGAAGCTCTAGCTCCGGCTGAAGGATGGCTTTGTTGTACAAGCCTGCTAGCTTCAAAGCGGTTGTGGGGCTACCATCACATCATTTTGAATGTAAACCTGCAAGTCGAGAAGTTCGCGTGCCTGTTTCTGTGCATCAATGCTTGCCAGCGCCCTCTTTCTACTTCTCAGCTAGAGCCCGCACAGGGACGAAGCGCTCACCGGAGGCCAACTTGGAGCCAACTGCACTTGGCCTTTCACCCTGATCCCCCATCCGCAGCCTCACTGACTCGAGCTCGGCCACGAGATTTTTCGTCCGCACGGGCAGCATTGGCAGTGCTCCGAACCCGCCGTCCTCGCCGCGGCCTGCAGAGAGCTCTTTCCGCTCGTGCATCTTGGCGGCCGGTCAGCTCCTGGCCAGCTGAGCCACCATGGGCCTGCTATGGACCTATGGACCTGCGAATGCTGAGACAAGGCTTGAGCTCTCGCAGGGAGTCTGAGCGAAACAATGGCACACCCTGCGCCAGTCCAGCTTGAAACATTGAAGACCAAAAATGGGGCAACACCGGCAACGCCAACACGGAACAATCATGTCTAGTCCTGCCACGGACTGCGTGTTCTTGATAACGTCAAGCTTGCTTCCTCATGTTCTGTATGCACATAGCAAGAGACACCTTGCCCCTGCATACCTGCATAGAGGCCTGTTGAATTTCCCCTACCAGGGAAGAGCCCACATATCGGTTTCCAACACTTCATGAACTTAGGCCCTAGGACTGCGCAATCCGAGCGGCACTTCTTTTGGCGCGCCAGTTCTCGGCCTCTTGCCTCGGCCTTGTCTTCCTCGGACCTGTGGCAAAAGTTTGAGCCGTCGACACTCGCCACAAGCCACCCAAAGGCACCCGCTGAGTCCGCCGCATCTTGCCCTTGCCTCCTTTGCCCTTCTTCCCTTTTCCTTTTCCCTGGCAGATGCACTGAATGTCCTGGTGGCAAGTGGAGCAACGCCACACAAACACCCCCCGCCTTGCCCTTGCCAGGATTTCGGCGGAAAAAGTTCTTGCCGGTTTTTGAGACGGTGTGCGTGTTGAAGATTTCCTCGTGTGTTAGGCAACTGTTCTCACATGCCTCTCACAAATCAAAGCCCATTGCTCCCAGGACGCATGCTGGGCCAATGTGTAACCAAGTTTCATCGCAGACAAGGCACGCCTAGCCGGCAAAATCAGCAATCGCAGCCATACACGCATAAGCCGTTCAAAAGACAGGCAACTTTTCAGGCGGTCTGTGCCAAGCCAAAGGCCAAAGTCTGTGCACATACTTCCAAGGATTACTATGGATTCGTTTGAAAACATCGCAAGAAAGCGAACTGTTCTCTCAAAGTCACCTGAGAGCAATTGTTCAAATCGCTAGTCTTAGTGCCAAAGCCAGGTTGGGTATGTATTTCTTTGAGGGTACCCAACCTTTATAGTCCTTTCAGTTGAACGCCAAAAGGAAAACAGCCATGGGCAGGTGGCCTTTCGCTCCAGCTCACCGTCCGGCAGCGGTGACTTGCCCTTGTTAAAGATCACCTCCAGCAGCACCGAGCCGCACCTCAGCCACAGCTCTCGATTTGGTCTCGCCATGGATGGAGCAGAATATTCGCGCCCCTCTGGCTGTGGGAAATTGAGTACACGTCTCACAAGTTGCCCTTTCGCAAAAGAAAAATGTAGGATGCGCGACCCTCAAAATGTGGTTTCCCTGTGCTTCGCGGAAAAGAGTATCGAGATTCAAAAAGGCAAACCTGCCATTGACACAGCCTGCCAGCGAAAATCAGCTCAAGTTCCTGAAGTGTTTGTGTAGCTGTGGTCAACCACTCGAGCAGTGCAGTGTTAGACTCATTGTTGCTGCTGCGATGATAGTCCAAGGCACTTTGTGCCATGGTATGATGCTGCCCTGTGTGTGTGCAATGTGTTGGAGCAGTGGCTTCGAAGAACCCCCGAAAGATTTGCCATCACTTTGACACAAACACGCAGACACACGTTAAGCAAATGCAGCGCGAAGGTTGGCCTTCATCAAGCTTCGATTCGAGGCAGCTAGCCCTATAGCACTGGACTGGTTCACTCTCCTTATCCTTACCCATGGGCTATCACAATTTCCACGTACATGTTCCAAGTCGAGAGTTGGGAAAAGCTGGGGATTGCGTGGGAACAAGCTCAAGCTCTTCAGCCGGGATTCTCCTCACACGTGTCAGAAGTGGCCTTGATCTTATGCGCCTGCGGCGGAACTCCACCGGGGGGGGGGGGGGGGAAGGGGGAGGGGGGCTCTCCTTGTGCCATTCACGAAACTTTCCCAGCAGTCCAGCGAGCTGTCCGACATTTCAGTTGCGGGCCCTTCTTGTCGAGGCAAACTGATGAAGGCTATGCTGCGTGATCAAATATCCCGCCCGCCTTGTCCTCAAAGATGGAAAGCTGTTGCAAACCTCATTGTCGGTGCAGCCCTGGATGCAAGCAGAAGTTGCTGAGCAACTTTGAGCAATGGCCACTCGTGTAAGGTGCCGACAAACGTTGCAATCAATTTGCCATTTTGGTCCAGAATCAACATCCAGGCAGAGCGTGCCAGAGCAGTTATCGGCAATGCATGACATGACCTCATCTGCGCCGGACTGAGAATCAACCCACGTCACACGAAATGCATCCATGGAACTATGAATAATGAATGATGGAGAAATGGCTGCATGTGCCAGCGTGCGCATGCATGCGAATGGCATCCAACGTGATCCTGAGAGTGTCGCCGCAGGCCGGTACTTTTTGTAAATTGGATGATCCAGATTCCAATGCTTGCCCTGCCTTGGTAAAGACCAATCCACTCCACAACAAAGAGACAGTCGCATGCGTGCTCACGTAGGATGTCTAGAATTGCACCTTCTGGGTGGTTGCCTTTTGCCCTTGAAAGCCATCTCAGACACGATTCCCATTTTCAGGCATACATATCTATGTGTGCAGCCAAAACCGAAGAATAAACTGGAGAGCTGAGCTACTCCTCTCTTGCACCAAAGGGTGGATCATCATAGCACATGGGACATATCGGATAGCTCTTCCCCACCTGCGGCGCGAGTGAGGTGCATCTGAAAAGCCTTGACCTTTCTGGGCGTGAATTTCAATAGGGGACGCCTTAGGTGGACATCATTTAGGTGGGGACAAACATGTCCACCAACCACAGTTGGGTTCATGGCCACATCAAGAAGTGCCACGAAAGCATCCTTCATTCTGAGCGGACTTGCTTTCATCGTAAGGGACCTGCTCGGGGGGTCCCCAAAAGGTCTCTGCCCGGTCGCACACGGCGAAATCAAACTAAGAAAACAAAACAAAACAAAGAAACAAGAAACAAAAGGGCGGCCATTCATTATGGCTGGGATTGTCCCGAATATGGGCTTCGACTAAGGCTTTGAGCCCTAACGCCAGCCTTGTTCGCAACAAACACGAGCCTGAGAGGCGAGCCGGAAGTCTGAACATGCGCTTGGCGTGCTTTGGCTTTCTAAAGATGAACCTCGTTTCAAGTCCACCTTGCAATCAAAAAGATGCAACCCAGAGCTCACACCTCATGCCCACTCTTGGATCAAGCAACTCGAAGTTGTCCAGCGGGCACTTCAGCTCTTTGTAGAGCTTCATCTGCCCGTTCTGCGGCATCTTGAAAATGCGATTGCACCTCGCGGAGCGAAGCGGCGAGAGACGAAAGAAGTTTGTGGATGCTTGCAGCATTCATTCCGAGAGCACAGCGCATGCTCGATGGGGTACCGAATACACTTGTGGTGTGCAAGTGTGTTTGCTTTTGTTCATCAGGCTCATCTTGATTTGAATAGGGACCAACACCATTGTGATCAAGAATGTGACGGCCAAGGCCATGTATCAATCCGCTCATTGGCTGTGGAAGGTGATTGATGGCTGACCTGCAGGCAAAGCGCGTTTTGCAGAACATGCGCACAGGCTTGCGGTCCACAACGGAGAGATACCTGGCATACATACACATGCATGTGTCGCGCACTCAGCGCGCAAGTGTTCCAGCAGCCATGGAAACAATCAAAGACGTCTCAGGCCGGGGATGTGACAAATTTAAGGGTGCCTCCGAATTGGAGGGATTCAACAAATCCTGCCACCGTGCTTTTCAAATCAACCATGTGCGTCGGCCAAAAGAAAAGTGGCTGACATGACTACATGTGAACCGAGGCCTCTGGCAATCTCCACATCTTGACAGCGGTCTACCAGCCGCCTCGGGAACAGGTGGCCACAATGCCGACTGCAGTGAGACAGCAACCACATCATGATTCGTTCCCGAATGACTGACTGATTCATTCCCCACGAAATCTCCATATCTGGAGTCGAAAAGGACCATCGGAAGATCAAAGCACCTGGGTGTTTTCACCAAAACCGACTCGTCCCTTGGACCTTAACTTCTTAACCGCCTCCAAGGACTTGAAGATGGTCTCGAAGAGCTGGTCCACGAGCTCCACGTTCGTCACCTGCCCGGACAAAAAGGCGTGCGCTGACCAAACGGCGTCAAAACAAACCCGTTGGACACTTTGGGACTTGAGAAAGAAAAAAAAACATCCCGACTGGCCATAGCCATCGGGTAAGCGTCCAACCCCCAGAGATACAGAGATACAGCTGAGTAAAACTTGGACATGTTCCGACGAAAGCTGACTGAAGGTGGCCGATGTGCGTAGTAGATGAACTTCTCACGGAAGAGCCGCAAGCAATGCTGGACCACCGGCAAGACCTCTGCCTTGCCATCAGCCACAAGGGTGCAGTTCTTCTCCATGTTCGCCCGAACCTTCGGAATGACCAACTCGTTGTCCACCATCTGATATCCATGCACCAGGGCAATTCCCAGCTGTGTAGGGATCAAGCGTCGACCCTCTGCGAGCTTCACATAGTTGCGCTCGCAAATGTTGTTGATGTGTGTTGCCATGGAAGCATCTGTTCCAATCCCATGCTTCTCCATCAAGGACAGCAAATCTGACTCGGAAAGGTACGAGGGTGGGCGAGTCTTGTGGCTGCCCATGGAAACCCGTTTGATTTCAATGGTCTCTCCCTTTTTGAAGTCTGGAATGATCACATCTTCCATCTCACCACTTCGCTGTATTGCCGTGAAGCCAGGATCGATGACTTTGCGGCCCGAAACCGAAAAGCCCTCTCCAACAATTGTAAAATTGACTCGCGTCCGCAGAAATTTGCAGTCGCCACTCACAGTAGCCAGGAAATGCCGAGTGATCATGTCCTAAGTGGGCTCAAGCTTCGCACCACTTCAGCTGCAATGCTCGACATCTGTGTGGTTGTCCCAGACTTTCAAGGAGTGCGACATTTCCCTCATCATGTGACCTCCAAAGAAAGCAGGGGAACCATGGCAGATTTTACTTGCACGAGTTTTTAGCAACAGTCACTGCTGCTGGGAGTCATAGAGTCGATAAGCATCACCCAGCTGTCCCTCTGTCGCTGCCCGCACTGGCGTGATAGGTGGGTGATCGCCCATATCGACGCCTCCCAAGCAAACAAAATGCATGCCAAAAGTCTCCTATGAGGGTTTATACCTGCACACCAAGCCAGTAAAAATATAGACGGAAGTTTCAGCCAGTGCCACAACGCAGCTTAGAACAATGGGCCCAACAACTGCCAGCCAGGCCCTCGCGAGGTCGTGCGAGACCATTAGAGAGGAGCTGCTGGGAGTAGGAGCCCCAGGCAGGGTGGCCGGATTGTGCTCGAACTGCCCCCTGTGCGGATGGGTGGGGCTCGTGGGATTATTTCAAGGGCTCCTTGCGAAAGGTGTAAAGCTCTAACGCGCAGGGACCCTTTGCCCATGCGAGAGACGGCCCAATCCCTTTTTTGGAGCCCCCCCCCACCTTTGAAACTTGCCTCCCACAAGTTCCCATGGGGCAAACCAAAAAATATGTTTTTCTCTGGCCTGCAAGTCGAAGTTCTTGGGATACGTGTTGGTCTCCGTGCGGGGATACGTCAAGTAGCCATCCAAGTAGAGGCGTTCCGCCATGTGCATCGCTTGCTGTGGCCCTAGTCCCAACCTGCCAAGCTTGCTCTACTCCCCCAAAATGTGATCGGGGGAAAGAAAAACGGCTTGACCTATACCCTTGGGTGTGGGCTTACAAGAGCGGTCTGATTTTTGTTGCAGCCCCTCCCCCCACTAAAAATGAACAGGACCCAACAAAACCTGAAAAAAATGGCAACAACAGTGAAGTAACATCAATTCCCTTGTACCCCGAAGGGAAATCGCATGGGGATCCCTTGAATTTTAAAGAGGGGCTACGTCACCCCTCAGGCAAGATAGAAAACGCATGCGCTTGGTTTCCGCACCTGGTACTGGCCATTTTCAGCATGGCCACCGTGTTCAGGGCCTGGGGCCGCGCCTGCCTGTCCTCCTTCTGGGACACGTCATTGACCACGGCTTTGGCGTTGTCATCCTGGATGATGTTCATGAAGAGGCTCGCCTTCCAAACATCCCCGAGAGCACAAACGGCCAAACTGCCCAAACTGCCCAAACTGCCCAAACTGCCCAAACTGCCCAAACTGCCGAACGTGTTGCAGTCGCCAAACGGTTCAGCTCTCAGCTTGCCGAGTTGCGATGGGCATGTCAAAGACCTGGCCTCTGTCCCACTGGGCCTGAAGGTCACGCCCGGCTTTCGCCACCGTCACGTCGATGGTGTAGAAGCTTTCTGGCTGAAAGGCGTTGATCTCGTCGCTTCTCCGCACGCAAAACCAAAGCGTGGGCGTCTGGCAAGGACCGTAGGAGACCAGGTTGGTGTCCAAATCCCCGTACTTGCCCTGAAAGTACTTGGTCTGGAACCGTGTAAAGGCGCACCCAAGCTTCAGATCCATCTCCTTTGCGCCCCGCACCAAAGAAAGCAAAAATTCGCCCCAGATTTGCACCCGAAGGTGCACACTTCCCTTCCCAACGCGGCCAAATTTTCATTCCGGGCGTCGGCGCGCGCATCCACGGAGTCCGACATGTCCTTGTTGGGGGAGCCCAGGGTCGCCATGGCCTTCTTGAGATCCACCGGGGCCAGGCTGGAGAACTGTGCCCGCCAGACCTCGAGTGCTTCCGGATGCGACGGTATCCTGATCCTTGAAAAGAAGAAGAGATCCATTTGGGGACTCGAGCCGAGTCGTGGTTGCCATGGAGGATTTGGTTTCTCTTGAAAACCATCGCACAAAGTTGGTACCAACTCCAAAAAAAAGAAATGCCCATATTCTTTGGCCAATCCTTTGGGGAGTCGAGTAGTCGAGTCGAAAGACGACGACTCGCTTGCCGAGGCCTGCTGCTGGCTGCCGGCGCTGGACATGTAGGGCACCGCGTTGTCTATGACCTCCGCTGACTCCCCAAAATGCACCGAAACATCATCCCGGTCGCTGGCAAGTATGCCCAGAGTTCAGTGCAACTGTGCAAAGGCAGGAGACCTCCATGGAGACAAAGCGAATAAGTGACCCGGCCACACAGTTCATGTGAACTTTAGTGGCATTGTTTGTGTTTTTGGCGGGAGACCGAGACAGGGCCAGCCTCGAAGCAAATGTTCTCCCCCTCACGGTCGCAGTCGAGCCACAGCACCAAGTAGGAGCATCCTTTGGCCTGAGGCGAACACTCAAAAAATTGGACTAGTTCGGTCAGAATGCTTTGCCCCAAGCAGGCGCTGTGAAAAAAGCATCTGACAAAAGCGCCCAAGGCACCACCAGGCGCCTCCAAGCCCCCCCCGGGCAATTTCCCCCCGCCCCCCATTTTTGGGTGGTTGGCTGTAGGCGGCCCAGACAACTGCACTCGGCGCCTCCGTCTGAAAGTGCTTCGGCATCCTGCGTGTGTGTTTTTTTTTAATCGCAGTATATAGACTCGCCCCAAGTGGCTCTTTTCTGTTAAGCCCCAAGTCCAAAGCAAAAAGAGGGCTTGGTCTGTTCGGCTTTCCCCGAAAGACCATAAAAAATCAAAATGTGGTGAAGACGCTGGAGATGCACAGGTGAAAGGGGACGCTGAGATCACGAGTGGCGCAAACTGGACTTCGGCTAGCATCCCTTGAAATCTGATGAACATGGCGAAAATTGTCTCCTCCTGGTTTTGTTTGACTGAATTGTGTGATGTCAAAGGAGTTCGGTGAGTAATCTCCCTTTTCAAGGCACGCTTAAAATTGTGTCTCCCATGAAGGACATAAATAATTGGTGAGTCCCCTGGTTTTTGTACGGAATTGAGTGAGCTCCCCCATGTCCCTCCCAAACAAAAACATGGCAATGATAAAGTCACGCGCCAGCGGTCCTCAATTTTGGATTCGCCTCTTGCTTCACCGTGGGGGCTCCGAAGAGCGTCAAAGGCTCCACTCGGTCCCAGTTGTTGTACTCGGGCGGGAAGTCAATTGAGTAAACGTGGCCTCGGGTCTCGGGTCTCATCCGGAGCGAAGGCCCAACCCCGATGACGGATGGGCGCCGCCCCGCCTTTTCTTTTTTCTTTGGGGGGGGGACCTCTTGATAAGCTGAAAGGGCAAATCTCGTCCAAGCCCAGGTAGAAACATGGACATCTGAAATATGTGGACCCCTGAACCGCAGGCGGCTGCTTTTGGAAACGCACATACGGCAATGAGTACCTGATGTATTGTCCCAATCAAAATGAATGAACTTGTTTGGCGGACCAAGGGGAAACAACCCATTTTTGGGTTCCCATGGTTCCCAAATTTTCCGAAACACCCATTTAGCCAAATGGCTGTGGGTCAAAAGCAATGGTACCATTTTGGGGTAGGTGCACGACCCATTTTAGTGAATTTTCGTGGGGATTGGGATGTTCACTGGGGGTATGATTTGGCTTTTGCCCCATGGCCAAATATTTGGAGTCTCATGGAGTCTCCCCAAACCCGCAGCCCCAAGCCCCGCGCCAGCGCAGCTCGTGACCTTGCAAGGGATGTGTGCCGAGTCTGAGTGCGAAGCCGAGAAAGCCGTCATTTTCCGCAAGGGAAACGCAAACAATTGGTTGGTTTTGTAGACGGCAAGTTGAAAATGGCTGGTCTAGGTAGTCTAGGTGTTTCTGAAAATCAAGGGACCAGTACAAATTGCCGATCACATGTCTAACAACTACGGGACGATTGACAATGGCCGGTTTCCGCTGGGTTTCCCGTCGAACACAAGCTGCAAGAAGGCCTTGAAAACTGGCCCTCAGTTGGGAGAAGCCATTTGAAAGGTGAAGCAGTTTGCTAGCCATCAGTGGAAAAAGAGGCTGATGTTGCTTGCTTTCCTGCTAAATGGCAGGTTGCATGGCCAGCTTCTTTCACAAATTTACGGCGGCAGCCAACATCGCGTGAAATATTGTGTGCGTGACTGCAGCAAACAGGTCGCTTCTGAAGAATTCTCGGAGCGTCCATAGGGGATTGCCATCGAACATAAATTATTAGTCTCCTGTCACATGTGAGTGTCCGCTTTTTTAGTGGGCCCCTCAAAATGGCTCCGGTTTTCCTTTTGGTTTCCCTTCGAAACCACCCAAAGAGTGGGGTACCAGAAAAAAAAGACGAGCCACCCATATTTTCTTTGGCCAATCTTTGCGGAGTCGATGGCCAAGACGCCTCTTTGTTTTGCCCCACGAGCCTTCATGTCCTACCCACCCCTCGTGCAAAACAAGTCGTCGTTCGGTTGCGGCCTTGAACCACGCCCTCTGGCCATAGAAGTCGCCCTCATACTCGTGCACCTTACACGCCGGAGACGCCTCAGTGCGACGAGAGAGAGGGCTCTCAACCAATCCGACCAATGCGACCCGGGAGGTCGAAACCCGGGCGGAATCTCTGCCCGCCCCGCCTAAACAAACAAAGAGAAAACGTAGGATCCACGAGGAGGAGGAGGAGGAAGTTGTGTTCACAATATCTCAAGATTGGCGGCTGATGGGTAATTTACTTGTGGCGTGGGAGGACCAACTAAGTGGGTCTTCGTTTTTGGTGGGAAACCAAAAACGAGATGAAGGCAACAAAGTTGACCACGTCAACTTCCAGACATTGAGCCAAGCAGCACCGGTGCGCGACGAATATTTATGGCCTGGGGATAGTGCATCTGCCAGAGTCTGCGCAATGGACGGCTTTTCCGCCACCATCAGAACCTCATGGCAAATCTGGCCATTCGAAAAGTGAGAGGCCCGATTTGGTGAGTGTTTCTTCTGGCTGCCAAGTCCGTGCCATTTGATCATCTGTTGCTAGAAACGTAAGACATGCCACCAAAAAGGACCGTGACCCCTGAAAATCCAAAGGAGGTGAAGCAAAACTGGCTTCCCCGCGTGTACCACGGTCAAAACCAGAGTATCCCCAGGATCAGGTCTTTCGACCGGTGACAGAAAGTTGCTCTTTTGGGGCTATTCAAAAAGAAGCCAAATGAGATGCACCGGGTTCGCCTTGCTCACATCCTCATCCCAGAGTCTTGTGAAAAAGGCGAGGGGCACTGACCACCATGGTCGATGGTCATACCCTGCTCGGGGAAGCGCTGGAGCCGGACTGAAGCTGCAGCGACAGCTACAGTGATCCATCTTGATCAGAGTGGATCAAATGCTGTACTTTGCTGCAAGCAGCATAATCAAGCGACAATCATAGCAACGAACAACACCAGCAGCAGTTGCAACGACGACGACGACGGCGGCGGCGGCGGCTGCGGCGGCGGCAACGATGACAAGATGACACAAGGCGGCAAGGCTCGACCAGTTCTGTAAAATTGCTTGACGTTGGACTTGCGCTAGCACTCTCTCGACCCCAAGCACTCTGCGCAATCTTGCTACGCTCTCTCTTTTTGGACGTGTTCGTAAAACTGCGAGCCTGGTTTGGCACCGTTGAGGCCTGTCTTTGCCGGCTCAAAACAAACGGGCGTCGACAGTGTGGCCGAATTGCAAATACAAGCACTCAGCCGACTTTGTCATTTTGACTTGCGCAGAACGCCTGTCAGGTGAATTTTGGGCAACTCCACTTGGTCCCTACAGGACCTGGATGAGGCTCCAACTTCTGCATTTGGATAGTCGTGCTCACCCATTCTGGGATCGGGGCAAGCATGTACCTTGGTAGACAGTCACGTCAACACGACCCCATGGCTAGGCCTCTCGACTAAGAAATCCTTTCAGAACACGGAGACGCAAATCATTTTACAACACATGGAAGCAATCAAGTTGGAACACAAAGAAGAAGTTACTTCGGAACACTACGCAGCTCAACTCTCCCTTCCTCAGCCGCTGTCCAAATATCTCTGTAATCCAAAGTTTTGTCTCTGTTACATCATCCGTGTGTTCCGAGCCAACAGAAAAAAAAACGGACCAGGCAACCCCGCACGCCAAAAAAAGTGTAAGTTGAGAGTGAGGATAAAATTACAACCTTATACGAAAACGCGCTCGAGTGCACCAACGCACCGCTGCGTATCTGTTTTTGCCTAATGATAAGAACACCCGCTCAAGCGCGACCGGGCAGCACTGCTGGGAACACCCGCGCACGCCCGCGCAGCATTGCATAACATTCGCTCCAGGACGACCGCGCAGCACTTGTGCTTGTCATTTGGCAAGCAGGTAAGCTCATTTCACAACCTTCAATACACCGCTGCGCGGGCGCGCTGGAGCGAATGTTCCTATCATTTGCCAAGCAGGTACGTGGCGAAGGCGCACTTGGGCGGGTGTTATTTCTTGTTTGTCAAGCAGATACGCAGCGCTGCGCACTGGGGCGAACGCTCCTTTCGTTTCGCAAGTCGATTGCACGTCTACGAGCCCAACCTTTCAAGCCCAAGCTCTTTACCCAGACCACACCTTCCCAGATTACTACGCAGATGGCTCTGGGCAAGTTGCTCTGCGCAAGTTGCGCCTGCGCAAATGGCTCTGCGTAGGTGTGAGTGGCTCCGCGCGAGTGACTCTGCACAAATGGCTCTATGCAAGTTGGTCTGCGAAAATTGGTCTGCGCAGGTGGCTCTGCTCAACTTCTGCGTGACTGACTCTGCGCAAATCGTTCTGTGCCATTTGGTCGAGAAATTCTACCCAACTTGCTCTGTGCAAGTTGGTCTGCACAAATGGCTCTGTGCAACTTGATCTGTGTAAGTGACTCGGCGCAAGCTTGTCCAAGGGCTCCGCACAAAAGAACCCTTCGTGACGCTTTCGGGAAAAGCAGAAACCGGGGAAACACTGGAAAACAGAAAACGCGCAACCCCAGAAAACCAGAAAACCAGAAAAGCCGAAAACCAACCAAAAGAAACTTTTTAGAAAACCAGAAGACCTGAAACTAGAAAACCTGAGAACCAGAACACCAGCAGCCAGAAACACAACAACACCAGAAAACCAAAAAATCAGGAGAAAAAAAAAGAAGCAACCAGCAAAACAAAAAACCTAAGAACACCAGGACACCCAAGAACACCAGAAAATCCGGAAAACCAGGAAAACTAGAAACAAGCCATCGCAAGGCAAACATCAAACATTTGTTTTGAAAGAGAACCAACAAGAACACAAAATCTCGCAAACCAGTCCACATCGCGTCGAAATGGTGTATGCCCGAGTTCAAATCTTGCAACTGCCCCTGACACGTCACAATCAAATCCCCATTACTATGGGGCCATGATCAAATCGAAGATTGTGATCACTTGGCTTGAGAACCGCGTAGCATGGTTCCCTTGTACGATTGGGCTCAAAAGCTTAGTTCCTACCAGGCAATCAGCTCCGAGTTCTCGCTGAGCTGCTTCCAGTACTGGTACGTCTGTTCCCTGGCGGTGTTTCTGCTGTTGCCACACTCCATCTCTCTCTCTTGGCATAGCCCTCAAAGGGGAAGCACATTGTCTCGCAATCACCCATGCAGGCCTTGTTTCTACCAAGTTCGCCAACAAGGTTATAGCTGCACCTGGCATTGCCATCCCTGCATTCGTAAACCTTGCTGTAGCACGACTGTCTTCCCAGACGTGCGGGGTTGGGCACCACCGAGTCATGCACTCGCTTGAAATGATTGCATGAGTGATGCTCTTCATACGGGCCTGGGTATCACGAACGGAGCGGTTGCAGATGGTCATAGCGTAGCAGGCACACTCTTTCTTGCAGATCAACACGACAATCGGGATCTCGGTATTGGAGATCAATGTTCCCGTCAAGATGGTGTGCAGGGATCCAAATTGCGACAAGCATGCGTACACAGTCTTGCTGTAGTCCATGAAGAAACTAACTACGTGTGCTCGGCATGTAAGTTTTCCTGCATCCTCTGCACAACCTCAGGGCTCGATTGATGATCTCGCCGTTGGGCAACTTAGTGGAGGCAGCGATGGCAAATGTCAAGATATCATTGATGCGCCCCTTGATTCCATTGACTGTCTTCATAGAACTTGCCAAAACTTCTTCCAGCTTCTCGGCGACAAACTTCTCGGCAAATGGTAGCATCTGCTGCCACAGGCACTTTCCCCAACTCACTGCATGGGCTGTTCGCAGGCGCTTCTGATGGCCAAATTCAATCAAAGGTCTTTGATGCAAAAGAGATGGCATCGCCGAGAATGGGGACTGTTTCTGCTACGGCCTCAACGGCAAAGCCAAGGATCTTCTCTGCTACAAACTCGAGGGGGAACGGGTTCACCTTCACCATCAAATTCCAAGCGGGTCTCTCAATTTCCTCTCTCGTCCCGCAAATCATTGTCAACTCCGTGCAGGTTGAATTGAAAACGTAGGGATTGTCGGCGAAATCGATCAGGATGCGATCGGCAAGCTCACAAGCCAAACTCCAAGCCATGCAGCCAAGTTCCCCGGCTTGCACTCTTGCTTTTTCATGGCCACCTGCACCAGCAGACTGTCCTCTCCACAGCTTGGCCCACTTGGCATGGCCGCAGCGGCAGCACAGAACAAGAGGGCCGCTGCGACGTGCATATTTGCACCCAGCCAACTCTATGTCGGGTCTCAGAAAACGGCTGCGCTGCTTGCCGCGCAATCCATAAACCTACTGCAGAGCAGCACAGGACGGCAAGCACTCAAAGACCAACACTGCAGGGGAAGGCCGAGCTAACAATAGAATGCATTCCAAAGCCAACACAAATTGAAGGCAGTTAAGTGGACGCAACCGCTTCACAGGCGTCTACATACGGTAAACGCAACCTTAAACGTTCAATGAGAATGAGAATGAGAGTAATAAAAGAAACACGCTCACACCTACTGATTTGAGTGAAACATCGTGCATAGTTGCACTTGGATTTGGGGATGGATTCAACAAAAAGCCAAAGACAACCTGCTATGGCAAGGCATAGGTTTGACACACGCCACGTTGTTTTCTCCAGATGAAGTACAGCAACTTGGGGAATATCTCGAAACTCCGGCATGATGGAGTCTGGCACTGCACGCCGTGAAGAGAAGCCGTGCCGGAGCAGCGTGGCGTTGAAACGCTCCAGCTCGCCAGTTCGATCCTTCAGCGCCAGGATCATCTGCGTCTGGTCATTCCTCAAGGCTTCGAGTAGCTCGATCAAAGTTTGGTCCGCTGGCGGGGAAAGAGCATTGGAATCCACGCACTTCTTGCCCGCATTGCCGGGGTACACCAAATCGCTCCCGACGATGGCGTCCCAAGGACCCAGCCGCTGGATCTTCGCCAGATCTTCCGCGGAGTTCCAATCGAAGACCTCCAGCGCCACGGAGCCCGCGAAGGGCTGGGCCGCCTGGAGGTTGGCCTGACACTCCCACGGGGTCAAAAGGAGATGTTTAAGTTTAGACACGGTCAAACTTGTGGAACCTTACTGTTCAATGCAGCACAAAACGCCTGGTACCAAGAATGCGTCCTTTTACTTTTTTGTGGCACAGCCGCATGGGCTGTTTAAACAAGTTTCAACCGGTGAGGGTTCAAGATGAAAAGGGGTCCCCCGTCTTTGTTTTCCGAAGGCTCCTTAAGCTTTCCTGGACAAAATGATGTTGAAAGCAAGAATTGTTGTATGTGGTGCGAACCTTATGCTTCTTTAAATGTGGTATATCCTCCAACTCGGTACTTTCTATATAACCATATGTATGTAATGTAATGTAATGGAATGGAATGGAATGTAATGTAATGTACTGTAATGTAATGTATGCATGTATGTATGTGCATGTATGTATGTGTATATATATATATATATATCAACATATATATATATATATCAACATATCCAATTCTGTTTGAGACAAATCCCAAGCGTTGTGTTCACCCCACGGCCCCCCTTGAAAACGGTTTCCCTCTTCCCGGCTCCGACGGCACGCCGGCACGCCCCGAGCCCCCGATCGCGCCTCCGCGCCCTGGAGCACCCGGAGGTTCCCGTCCGTGGCGGTGACGGAGGCGCCCGCGTGGGCCAGGGCGATGGCCACCAGCCCCGTGCCCGCCCCCAGCTCCAGGACCTGAAGCGAGGGAGCGAGGGACGTGCGAGGGGAGGACCGACCTTACCGGTTCGTTCGGTGAAAACAAAGAACAAAAAGGGGACTCGGGGACTCTCATGAAACAAAAAATGCTGCGGCAAACCGCAGAAGGAGAAGAAGGAGAAAAAAAAGAGAAAAAAGCAAAACGGGCTGGCTTCCAGAAGAGAAGAAAAGAAAACAAGGTGCTATTTTGTGCCACAGCCGTATGGGAGTGTCTTTTGTTTGGGGGAACGCCCTTCTTGCGATCTTCAAGGGTTCCCTCAAAACCAGACAGACCCATATCTCGAAGCAAAAGCCGAAATTGGAAAGTCCTCGTCTTTGAACTAGATTGGGCTTATCTGGGCTCCCGTCTCTACCCTCTTCAAGGCACCTTCTTCCCGGCCCACGCCAACTGCTCCCCGTTGCGCCCCACGAAGTCTGCCAGCACGATCGCAGCCTCCCAGAGCACGCCTCCGGTGCCGATCCGCTCCTTGCAAAATCACATCTTGCCGCTGGAAAGTGGGCCAAGCTGTGGGTTGTTTCCATATTTCCACTTACCAGGGTTCCATTTTCGAACCCTTTTTTTGAGCCACAGCCATTTAAGTATGGATACCCTTCCTCCTAACATGGCATTTGTTGGAGGGGCCCTGCATTCCCGTTTTCTGTGTCAGGCACCGCCATAAGCTGGCACCATGCGATTGACTTGTCCTAAGGTTTGGCAGCTTCCCGCACACCCCGGAAGATCAGGTCATCTTAACCCAGCCAGGAACATCCCAATCCCCACTAAAATAGACTAAAATGGGTGGTGCATCCGCCCCAAAATGGTGCCATTGGTTTTGACCCACAGCCAAACAGGCTTTTTAAAGGAATCCGAACCGGGTCCCTCCTGCTCCCGGCGCTGGTGCTGTCGGATGATGACGTCCCGCCCGCCCAGCCGCACGCTGCGCGTGGGCAACAGGACCGGCAAATGCTTGGTCAACGCGTGGGAGAACAGAGTCACCTCACCTGGGCTCAGATTTGTTTGTTTCTTTCATTGGGAAAAGAGTCATGTTCCAAACAAGCGGGGAAAACCGCCGAAGACCAATCGAGTTGCTGTAGGGGCTGCAAGCCGGAGGTGGACCGCCCAAGCCGATCTCTCCACGCCACTCAGCTTCACAGAAGGGTTCCCCTAACGCACGGCTTTCCACTTCGGCGGCCCGGCAAACAATGGCCCCGGAGTCCACAAGGAGAGTCACCTCCAGTTGCACAAAGGAGCGGTACGAGGGCATGGGCAACGGCGCAAGCTCCAGCATCCCCAAAAAACGATTCCCCTCGCAGAAGGGACGCTCTCCAGCATAGAGCTCCAGCCGGGCCGAGGCTTGATTGTCCTGCGTGGTGGTGAAAAGCTTGGTGACCTCCGCAGGCAGCACACTCCCGCGGGCAAGCATCTGCTCGCACAAGCCGTCGGTCTTCTTGATGTGAAGAGACAGTAGCAAGCTTGAGCTGTCGCTGCCCGCGAAGTCATCTGGTGGGAGCAGGGCCAAAAGAGGAGGCTCCTGGCGGCACCCAACTTTGAAAATGTCAAACAACACTCAGGACTGTTGGGTGTGTGCAAGGGTCCAATCGGGCAGCCCGCTTTTGGCCCTCCCAAATCTGATTATCCAAATCACCATCCTTCTCACCAAGATTCACCGAGATATTGTGCCACCAAGACAAAAGAGTGCGTGGGTTAGCCAGCGATCGGCACGATATAATCAGAAGCTCCAAATCACGCTGAAGCATGTGCATTACAAGTCCTCTCCGATCGCCATCCAAAGGAGACGTAGCCAAATCAAAGCCAGATAAGGACCATGTCTCATTCGCACCTACCTACCAACACCAGGCATTAGCAAACAAGTCTTCAACAAGTTGGGCCTGGACAGATTGAAGCGTCAGCTACGACCAGAGATCTTCAAAAGGGGTGGATGTCCAACTTTGCCGTCAGGCGGTATTGATGAAACCAACTCCCGCGTCTCTTCCTTCTTTGTTGAGCCAATGCGCCAGTGTTCAGCACTTGCACTGCGACAAGCACGGCTGCCAGCTAGACTCATCTCACAGCCGCGAAGTTGCAAATTTTGTCAGCGCCGCGACTTGTCCCCTGAAGAGCTTGCTCACTATACGCCACTTCCTTACTAGCAATCCACAAGCGTCTGCGTCGAGATTGCATCAAATGCGAGCAAGCAGCCCATCTAACTTTCCCTTCGCCAAGTGGAAAGCATTTTCGAAGCTCAGTTTGCCCATGTAGCCTGCAGTCAAGCAATTTGCCGCTGGACAAGTAAAGGGCTTGGTGCGGCCTGTCTCGGACATGGATGCTGTGGCCACATTCCCCAAGACCTCAATCGTTTGGATCTTGGCCTGGTAGTTCCAGCCTAAGGGCAACGGTTCTCCCCAGCCCTTGCTGCAATCACCACCGGCCTCGGGCGTGGTGCGAGGCCTGCTCAAGGGTTGCACAGGGCATGGATCTGACGAGATACCCGTTTGATTGAGGCATCAAACCTATTCAAGGCTTGGCATGACATGGAAAGCTAGCCAGGTTGGCTGTGGTGGTAGGGCTGAGAAGCGATCTTTGTTTGTCCAATTGTCTTTTGGGCGGAAGCGTACAAACCAAAGCAAGCCCAGACCAAAAAAGCTTGCGAGCACACTGCTCCCAAGGCCGTACTTGCAAAAAAAAAAAAAACGACTTCTTCGGGGAGCTGAACCAAAAGCTCAGCCCTGAAGCTCACTGCATCTCGCCTTGTGCTAGGTGAACCTGTATCCCGCGCGGTTGCTTCAAGTGGCCAGATGTGGGTCTGGGACCCTGAAGAGAAACACGGGACATCAACTTGAGTCGATCATCGCATGCACTTGCTACCTGCTTTCTTTGTCTGCAACGCAAACTGCTTTAAATAGGCATGACCCTGAAGAGGGGCAAGCCTGCGCTCCTAGTCCCCTCATCTCAGGATCCATTGTTTGACGCATGAACAAAAGACACCACCCTTGGCTCGGCCTTCACCTTCTCCATTTGCGCAAAGAAGGCATCCGCACCGCCCAAGATTTCCTTGTCGTCGATGTAGCCATGCATGACCGCCTGGAGCAAACAGAACATCTTGCGGTGCTTGTGGGCAACTCATGACACCTGATTTGCTGATTTCGAGCAAATGCGACGTAACCGGGACAGAAGACAAAAATATGCACCAGCTTGCGAGTAGATAGCACTGCATCCACCCACTGTGTGCACTACTTGGCTTTCTGACTTCCTTGGCTGCGCATGCTACTGGGTAAGAACAGTAGAAAATGGATCAAAAAGAGCGTACTGTGGCCCTGCAGGTTGCTAATAATTATATGACCCCATTGCAAAAGAGCCCACTGGAATCGAGCCGGCACAAGAACATGGCAACGGCCTCTATCCACTGTGCAATTGAGTCATTATTGGTATGAAATCAAAAGGGTTTCTTGCCGCACCCAATTCTGCAATTCTGATTGGGACCGTCCCCAACCAACCTTTTCTGAATTGGCTTCTTGCGGGGAATGGTTGAAACAACCGCGTATGTCTGGAAAAAAGGGAGGTTACAAGGAAACCAGCCATTCGAAAACATAACAGTGTCTTTTTGTTCAGGGTACGTTCTTGCGAGGGAAAACCCAAGGAAGGACGAGGCACCTGCTGTCGAGGGGCTCCACTATCTTAAGACAGGCTCAAATCTTTGGCCAACGGGGCCCGCACGGAGTCGTGGAAAAGGGATCGAAGAAGACCAGCATCGCAAGATTCCGTACCCTGCACGTACCTCTCAAGGACCTGTCGAGATGCGAAGAGTTGAAAGCGTTGGCTCGACATGAGGTGGTGCGCATCTTAGATAGGAACCTTTCATGGACTTTATTGGCATTCTTGAGACATTACCCATGTGCATATATAACATGAAGCATCCCCTGGTGACCACATGTTCCCAAACTTCAGGTACTGCTCAGAAGCGGGGGGAGACATGTGGGAGACCATGCAGGCGTGACTTCTTGCCCATCGTTGAAAAAACGTACACGCTGAAATAAAGCATCAAGTGCGAATAGTGCTTACGCGATATGAAATCACGTGGGAAGATCACTCCTTTGCTGTGGGTCAAAGATGGCTTAACTATGGCCAGGGCCAAAACTTACAAGAAAACAAGCAATCTCAGGGACACGAAAGGTAGCTTCATCCAAACTGGGGCCTTCAGAGATAGGTGACACAGGAGCAGGTTATGTTCAAGGGAAAAACCTGGTTCACGTGATTTCGGAAGATGTCACCAAATCAAAGGCATCCTTGAATTGTGAAAGTCCCTCTCGCATTGGGAAGGCTGCGTCGCGAGCAACGAAGCCTAGCTGAAACGATCACTGACAAATTAGCTAATTCGTCACACGGCCGGCTATCACTTCGATCCACAGATTGCATCACCAGCGTCGGTGGCATCACCAGTATTGCCAGCAATGAAGCTGAAACGACCACTGACGAAACGGCCGTCGCCTCGACCTACAGGCTTGTCTCGCGAGCTAGCTGCGTGTTACACAGGCTTGAAGGTCTAGGGTCTGGAGCGATGTGTCCTTACGAGTTAACTGCGTGTCTGAGGGTTTGGAGCGCTCAGGCAATGCTGCGTTCCCTGCGCCTGACTAAAACACACCTACCTGAGTAAAAAAGAAGCAGCAGCAACAAAAATGAGGAGACCGGGCGACTAGGAGACCAGGAGACCAGGAGACCAAGAGACCAGGAGACAACGTCTCCAAAAAAAATTGCGATCCCCTCAGTAGTTGCTTGAAAAATGGTGATGTTCATCCGAGTTTTTTTGGGTCTTTCCTGGCGCCACTCATCCACAAACCAAAGACATGTTGTGTGTTTTGGTTTTCGTGGGCATGTTCCCTGCAACAAAGCCAACAAAGCTCGGTGTTGCGCGGTGTCCAAAAAATCAGGACTCTGAGTAACATCCTTAGAATTCAAATACGTTTACGCAGGGATTGAAATGGTGGGCTTAAGTTAGCATTCAACCCTGTAAATGTCCTTACAAAGTTGCTCATAATGCGCCTTCTAAGCCTCATTGTAAAGTATGGCTATAAGTTCGCCTCGGCCCCAAAGGGGCCAAGGGCGCTCAGATCTCTTCTCCAAAGAGAATCTTCGCTTTCCCGACAAAATTTTGCCGGGCCGCCCCCCCCCCCACCCATGTCGGCTGGACCCAAAATCCTGTCCGGCGGGCCTTGAAATTTTCGGGGTTCGTCGGCGTCCAGCTCCATGGGTCCATTTTTGTCGAAAATGTGCTGACAATTGCGAAAATCACTAAAAAATTGCTTTTTGGTCCTGAAAAGCATGACCTCCTGGTGGCCAGGCCTGCCTGACGTGTCTGAGACTAGGCTCAGGCAGCAACCCGCCTGCTGGCCAGGCCTGTCAGCCCAGCCCACCCAGCCTCAGGCCCAAGCTTGTCTGAAACAGGCCTACGCCAAGTCATCCAGCAAGCCCAGCCCAGCGCATCTCTGGGCCGGCCCCAAGGTCAGGTTTGTCTAACGTGTCTGAGACTGGCCTCAGACACAAAGACCAGTCTCACGTGAGCCACCAAGCCCGTCTGACGTGCCCCAGCCCCTCAGTCCGGCTGCCCAAGCAACTCAGCCCAGGCTGGCCAGGCCTCCTGCTGGCGTGTCTTACGTGTCTGCGACTGGCCTCAGGCCCAGCCCAGCCAACTCGCCACCCAGCCTCAGGCCCAAGTGTGTATGAAACAGGCCTTGCACAGCTCAGCCCAGCCCGCCCAGCCCAAGTTCCGCAGCCTGGTCCGGCTGCCCGGCAGCCAGCAACCCGCCCATGGCTTCGCAGCCTCGTGGCTGAGACTAGCTTCAGGCCCAGCCCAAAGCCTGGCCCAGCGCATCCCAGGGCATCCACTACCGGCCCCCAGCTCCCAGCCGACCAGCAGGCTCAGCCCAGTGTGCCAAGGTCAGGTTTGTCTAACGTGTCTGAGAGTGGCCAACGACCAGTCTCACGTGTCTGAGACTGGTCTCAAGCTATGCCAGCTACTCAGCAGCCCAGGCTGACCAGGCCCCTTCGGCGCAGTCTGAGACTGGTCTCAAGGTACGCCAGCCTGAGACTAGCCTCAGGCCCAGTCCCTCAGCCCGCCTGCTGGCGTGTCTTACGTGTCTGCGACTGGCCTCAGACCCAGCCTAGCCAGCAACTCGCTACCCAGCCTCAGCCCATCCAGCGACCCGCCCAAGCACAGCTCAGCCAGCCAGCCGAAGTTCCAGGCGCAACCAACACCATAATCCAGCTGCCCAGCACCACCCATGGCTTCGCAGCCTCGTGGCTGAGACTAGCTTCAGGCCCAGCCCAACCAGCAACCCGCCTAAGCCAACCCCACCCAAGCCCACCCGGTTTGAGACTCGCAGGCCTCAGCCTATCTAGCGCCGAGACTGGGCCTCACCAGCCTGGGCTCAACTAGCGTCTAGCCCAGCCCAGTCCGCCTGCAGGCCTGTCTGACGTGTCTGAAACTGGCCTCAGGCCCAGCCCAGCCATAGCCCAGCCCCCTCAGTGCGGCTGCCCAGCCCGCCGTAAACTAGCTTCAGCTCAACCAACAACCCACGCAAGCAAGGTCCAGCCAAGCTGCCCGAGACTAGCTTCAGGCCCAGCGCAGGCTTATCTGATGTGTCTGAGACTAGCCTGTGGCCCAGCCCAACCAGGCGAGGCCGGCTTGTCTGACTTGTCTGGAGCCAGCTTCAGGTATTCGGACCTTCCCAACACTGGATTTCGGTGTTCCTGACCCTTCCCTCAAACTAGGCTGGGCCGAGGCGGGCAACGCGAAGCGTTTACAACTATAACTTAGAAGGCTCCTTACAAAGCTCCGTTTAAAGCTGTGTAAACCTCCTTTCAAGGC